TGTTGACTGTTTGAATATCCTGTTTAGTGAACTGTCTGTGTATGTCCTTTGCCCATTTTTTGATAGGGTAAGAATAACAAGAGAATTTAAGGAAAAGACTTAGGCCTGAGTCTTAAAATGTGTGGTTAGGAGGTACCAGGAAGATAGGACTTGTCAAGAACCTTTAGGGTTTAGGAGTGTTGATCCTAGAACCCTAACTTCTTAGAGTTGAAAGGGACCTCCCAGGCCTTGGACCTAACTTTTCTCACATTTTAAGACCACATTCCTGAAAAGTAGTTGCCAACATACCCTATGGATGTGAACTTGTCCAAGGAAGGTGGTCCATACTTTCATGGCAACAGCCTCTCCTGCCAGTGTTTGAACAGTCAGTGTTGAGCGATTATGGCGTTGAGCGAGATTGGCCTCTGTTGACCTCATGTTCTTCGTCTTGGTGGGTTGCCCTCTAGAGCCTCCCCTTCATGAAAACCCAGCAGAAGGATGGAGTATATGACCATGGGCCTCCAAGTCAAACTGAGTAAACATCTCCTATGTTGCCTCAAGACATGGCTTTGAGGCTCCTTGCTCTCCTGGCCACCAGGCTAAGGGCCATGAACTCTGATGAGGAAGATGGAGAAAGGTTGAGTTAGAGTTATGATCGCCCCTCCTGTTGTGGTTTGCATGCTCTCATTTAGCGCCCCCTGTCCCACTTTTCAGGGCAAAGAAAGCCACATTTCTAAAAGGTTAAGTAAGTAAGGATGGAGCAGGGTCAGACCTAGGCCTTCCTCCAGGTGGCGAAGACCTGGTGTCAGGGCACAAGGGCCTACAGTGAATAGTGATGTGAAAGGCTGGTGGGCCATGGCCAGAAAGAACATAGATGGGTTGTCCACAAAAGGCATCCTTCATCCTTCCTAGCAGAGGGTCTCCACCATGGCTGTAGGCAACAGGACATTCAATTGTTACCTATACTCAAGAATGCCCACTGCCCCCTGAGAGAGAGCAGGGCACCCAAACTGTCGTCCTTGGAGGGTGATTCTGGCCATATAGCAATGCCCTTCCCTTCCCCTTGTCTCCTGGAGCAAGATGAGGACTGAGAAGCTCACTCTTTGATCCCCACGGATGCTGGAGCTGATTTGAGAAACGCTTGTAGATTAGCAGTCTGGGTTTCAACCCAGCTCTGTCACTTCCTAGCTGTCTGCAAGTGACTTACCTGCTCTGTCTTTGGGATAATAACAATATCGTTGTCAAGATTCAAGGAGTTAGTATGTACAGACACTTGGAAGAGGGCCTGGACCATAGTAAGTACTCAGTAAATACAACTGTCAGAAGACACCATTCTCTTCTTTGTTACTCTGAACCTAGGGGACACAGACTAAAGGCTACAGAATCAATGGTGTTGTTAAGCGCCATCGAGTCGGGTCCAACTCATAGCGACCCTGAATAGGGTTTCCGAGGAGCAGCTGGTGAGCTTGAACCACCGACCTTGAAGTTCAAACCAGCCTTGCAGTCCAGCGCATTGACCCACAGCGCCACCCCAGGTCGCCACAGAATCAATTGTTGTTGTTAGGTGCCATCGAATTGGTACCAACTCATAGTGACTCCATGCACAACAGAACGAAACACTGTCCGATCCTGGGCCAACCTCACAAATGTTGCCACGCCTGAGCCCATTGATGCTGCCACTTTGCAAATCCATCAATATCTACACTTAAATGGGGCTCTCAGCCTCAGGACTGAGGACACCATAGGGGTAACAGACTATAAGAAGCTGGAAAGCCAGTATGCCTCTAAAGAAAGAAAACAGCCAGTCCCTTGTTACGTGAATATCTGGGTCATGTTGCCACATATTCATAGGAAGCAGGAAATTAAAAAAAAGTATGTGGAATTTGTTGACATTTAAATATGACCAGTGAATTAAAACAACAACAATGAAACCTAAGTTCTGTGAGGCTCTAGAGCACAGCTTTCCTGTAGACCTGTAGACCCTTGGCCCAGGGTCAAGCCCAGGGAAGGCCTGCATATCCTTCCGAGGGCAGGAGAGAGTGGTAGGGCCAAAGTATGTCCCCACATTTGTAGCAGATCTGCCCAGTGCAATGCATCATTTGATTTCCTGACTGCTGTTTCCATGGGCGTTGATTGTGGATCCAAATGAAATCCATTCATATAATTCTTCAATACTGTAACTTGTGGCTTGAATTTTTTCTTCAGTTCTTTCAGCTTAAGAAATGCTGAGCATGTTCTTCCCTTTTGATTTTCTAATGCCAGGTCTTTGCATATTTCTTTTTTTGTTTTTTTTTTTCTTTGCATAGGTCATCATAGTATTTTATTGCTTTAGGTAGTCTATCTACATTCAAGAGCAAATTTCAGAGTATTCTGACATCCATTTTGGGGCTTTCTTTCTTTTTTGTCTTTTTAATGACCTTTTGCTTTCTTCACATATGATGTCTTTGATGTCATCCCACAACCCATCTGATCTTCGGTCATTAGTATTCAATGGGTCAAACCTATTATCAAGATGGTCTCTAAACTCAGGTGGGATATACTCAAGGTTGTACTTGACTCTGGTGGACTTGTTTTAATTTTCTTCAGGTTCAGCTTGAACTTGCATATGAACAATGGATGGTGTGTTCCACATTCAATCCCCGACCTTGTTCTGACTGATGATACAGAGCAGCTGGTGGGCTCAAACCGCCAACTTTGTGGTTTGCAGTCCAGTACTTACCCACAAGGTTGGTGGTTTGAGCCCACCACTCACTCCATGGAAGAAAGATGAGGCTTATTCTCCCACGAAGATTTAAAGTCTAGGAGATACTATGTTGTTGTTATTAAGTGCCATTGAGTCGGTTCTGACCGATAGAGACCCTGAACAGAGTTTCCGAGGCTGTAAATCTTTACGGGAGCAGAAAGCCTCATCTTTCTCCCTCGGAGCAGCTGGTAGTTTCGAACCACTGACCTTAAGGTTCGCAGCCCGATTCGTAACCACTATGCTACCAGAGCTCCTTACTGTCAGAACCAATTCAAAGGCACTTAACAACAACAGCTATCATTAATAGATATTTGCAGTTGCTTCTTCTCCTTTTGCACAGTACCACATCAGTAAATTAAGGTCTTGAAAGCTTTATCCATTAAGGTCGAGTCTACCACTGTTCATTTGATAGTTTGTGGCACTGTGGTGGCTTGTATGTTGCTGTGATGCAGGAAGCTATGCCAACAGTATTTAAATACTAGTAGGGTCACCTATGGAGTCCTGGTGTGGTGCTGTGGGCTAATGCGTCAGACTGAGAAGTTGTTTGAACTGCAAGGTGAGTGGTTCAAACTCACCAGCTGCTCCTTGGAAACCCTATACAGGGTCGCTACAGGTCGGAATCGACGCGAAGGCACTTCACAACAACAAAAGGGTCACCTATGGTGGACAGGTTTCAGCTTCCACACTAAGACAGACTAGGGAAAAGGACCTGAAGATCTACTAAGAAAATCAGCCGGTGAATACCTTCTGAATAGCAGTAGGACAGTGTCTAATAGATGCCAGAAGATAAGCCCCTGGAGTTGGGAGGCATTCAAGAGACAACTGAGGAAAAGCTGCCTCCTCAAAATAATATTTGTTGGTTTCGACTCAAAGCGAAACCGTGTGTAGGGTTTCCTAGGAGCGGCTGGTGGTTTTGAACAATCAACCTTGCAGTCAGTAGTCCAGAGCTTATCCTACAGCGCCTCAGAGGAGTCAACTTTAATTATATCGATAGAGTAAAGCTGTCTTGAAAGTAGACAGCTGATTCTTGTTTAGTTCTGAGGCTGTTTGGTACAGTGCCCAGAGATTCATAAGCTTCTGTATACAAATGTGTTTAATTTAAATCAATAACGGACCTAGGAGTCCTGGTATGGTGCTGTAGAATACCTCAAGGTCAGTAATTCAAATCCATTAACTGCTCCTCAGAAACCCTATGGTGGTGGTGGTGTGGTGCCTTCTCTAAACTGTCTCTATGGTGGAGCTGGTTCTAACTCACAGCGGGGACCAGAAAGCCTGATCTGCCTCCCGCTGAGTGGCTGGTAGTTTTAAACTGCTGACCTTGAGGTTAGCAGCCTGACTTGTAACCACTACACTACCAGAGCTCCTTCGGAAACCATCCAGGGTCTTTATGAGTCAGAACTGACTCAAAAGCACTTAACAACAAACAACAAATGTGGTCTTATGCACTTTACTTCACTTCTGATGCCTCAGTTTTCTCACCTGTAAAATGCGGAAAACATACAGTCCCATCTCACTGAATCATGGTGAAGAGGAAATGAGATTAGGGTTGCAAAAACAGAAAGTCCAGATGATCTGGACCTTGAGAGGATGCTGTTGTTGAGAGGACCCGAGTTCTAGATATTTTAAAGGTTTCCTATGGGGTGCTACCTGAGCTGTTGGGACAGGTTCTCTCTCACCTTCCTCCAGGCCCTGTGGCTTCTGTCCTGTCACCTTGCACCTCAATTTCCTCCTCTGGCTTACATTTCCCAGCTTCTCAGTGGACGAGTGCTGGGGGAGCACTTGTCCCTTCAGCCCAAACCCTTGCTGTGAGGATTTATTATTTTGTTGAACCCATTTTTAGCCTATAGCATGTTCCCTTTACTGGGTCGCCCTGCCAGTGCGTGTTCCCAACCCAGAACCTAGGCATTTGAGCCCCATCCTAAGGTCCCAGTCCTAACAAAGGCTAGCCCCAGGGGACCGGTAGCCGCCAAATCTAAGATAAGGTGTTTTGTTTTCTTTTACGGGGCGTGGCCGGCAGAGCCCCTGGGAGGTGCACTGCAGCCAGAAATCCGGAGACCCTCGCTAGCATCTGGAGTCTCCTGAAATGGGGGCTGGCCTATCTTGCCTACACCCCCTTGAGACGCGGAGAGGACGTGATTTCTGCCACCCCCAGGCTTCCCCACCTCCCCGCTCCCCCACCTCCCCTTTTTTTTCCCAGGCTGTGGGAGACAAAGAGTTAAATCCCATAGAGCTGATGCTCTGACTCCAGGCTAGAGGGGCCCGGGAAGCTGGGGTCACTTCCTGCTCCGTCCCAGTCACCCTGAACTGGTCCCCGGGTTCTCAGCCTGGGATCTCCCCTTGAGAAAGACCCCAGAGTCCTCAGCATCTAGCCCGCCCCCCGAGGCAGGGCATTTAAGGGGTTAAGTCCCCTGGGGCTGGATTCTGCCTTCCGGCTTTTCCCAGACCCCAGAGCCGTGAGTTGGGGACGCCTGGGTTCCCGGGGGGTGGCCTGGAGGGCCCGGGACGGCCGCCAGGGAACAATGGGGCCCGGGAGGCGGGGGCCGGGCGCCTGGCCCTGAGCCTCCTTCCCCCCCGCCCCTCGTCCGCCCCGGGGTAGGGGTGGGGGCCCGGGGCAGGGGGCCCGCAAAGGGCTGGAGGATTCTGGGAAGTGCGCGAGGGTCTGGCTGGGGGGAGGGGGAGGGCGTGAGCATTCTGGGAAGAGGGAATTGGGCCTGGCTGGCAGGGCCGGGGGCTGGGACGCTGCGAGCCGCCTTTCTGGAAGGAGCCCGGCGCTGGCGGGAGAGCCAGAACCCTGAGAGCCATGGGGGACGGGGAGAGGGGGGAGGATGCCCAGCCTCTGGATTGAAAGGTGGAAACAGGGTCTCTGCGACCCGGTGGGGCAGAAGTCCAGGACCCGGCCTGGTGCGGTGTCCGGGGGGGTCAGGGGCCAGGATGGCTGCATTCCCGCTGCCTCCATGTCAGGGTCACCCTGGGCCGCTCCCTACACCTCTTGGTGAGGCCGTCTCGTCCCTCGGCTCCCTCCTAACACCGAGGCCGGTGCCCTAGCAGTCCTGGCAGCCAGTGCCTGGCTTAACTCTACTGTTTGCCTCCGTTTTCCCACTTTTATACTCCATGACTGCCTTGCTGTTAACCCTTTCTTTTCTACTCTGGACCGCTGAGTTTGAACTTCTCTAGACAATTAAGGTACATAAGCTCTTCCCTGGTCTCAACAAACACTCGTTCCGGCCTCCTCGGAACAGCCAGGCATGCCCCAGGTTGGCAGAGGTTCCTGCTTCCACCACCCCAAAGACACTTAAAGGGGAGAGATTTTCATAGCCTAGGTAGCTGTAGAAAAATTGATTTCCTTCCTAAAATCCAACTCCCATTTCTCCTGCTATTTGGCTTGCTGTCCTCAGATCTTGCCTTGTCTCTGTACCACTATCTCTATAAGTGTCATGCAAAACCCAGGTCCTCATCAGGATTAAAGGTTGTGGGAAATTCCCCCAGCACTTAACCCCTGTGGCCCTGTCCCCTCATGCTGGAGTCCTAGCACCCTTTTTGGGATGACAGCTGAGTGTGTTTCACTCGGGAGCCACTTGTGACCTCCTATTCTTTTCCTGTTGTCCCCTTGCAGAGATATTGGTCTTTAATGGCACTGAACCCAAACATGTTTTCTAGGAGCAAGGGGCATCCTACTGTCTCATTGATTCAACAAATATTTATTGAGGACATAGTGTGTGCCAGCCACTGTCATAGACATGGGCTACAGCATCAACAGAACTGAAGGGAAAGAGTAGAAAGAGTTCCGGATGGTGTCTGAGGATGAGGCTGACAGTGGAAGGCTTCAATGGGGAATACTGTTCGGAGCTCATAGACAACAGACCATGAGGCCTAGTCACTGAGTCTATAGAAACCTCTTGGTCCTAGGAATTTTTCCAGCCCATTCTTACCACCAGCAGGCACTGTCTGATCTGTTTTTGTCCCTAGCTCCTGCCCATGGTTCTAAGTCTCACATGACTTTCAAGGTCATCTCAGAAGCAGGGGCAGGCCAGACACAGAAAGAAACCTGCGTTTCTGGTCCAGGCTCTGCTACTTCCCAGCCTGTGACCTTGGAGAAGTTATTTCCTCTCCCTGGACCTTGGTTTACTCATCTGTAAAATGGACAACATACCCGCTGGGCCTCCTCACCAGTTGTGGGGAGGACTGGGCGAAGTAGCTGAGGATGCCCCAGCAGGAACACGCATCTTGTCCTTCCCGTTGTCCTACCTCTGTGGCTCCTGACTGCTTGAACCTCCGGCTCACCCCTCCTCTGTCCTGAGCCTAGCTAGAAAATACCCTGCCCCTGCCTACTGGTAGTACCCCTCTCGCCTTCGCCTCAAGGAAATTGGGGGATTTGTTGTTGTTGTTGTTGTTAACCCTTTAAGTGCCCCAGGCTGCCTCAGTTCTCTCTGGGGCTCATAAGGGGAAAGTTTATTAGTCCCAATTAGCAACCCCATTAAGGAGGGAAATTAGAGTCATAATAAGCTTGCACTGATTAGCAAAATAACAGGTTTCCCCAGCCTGGTTTTCCAGCCTCTGGGCATGAGAAGTGTGAGGCGAGAACCTTCCTCCCTTCTCCCCCCCAAGTCTGGGTTCAAAGGGTTATGGCTGATGAGCTCTTAATTGGCTCTTAAATTCATCTGTGTGCATTGTTGTGATTTTAAGATCTGGAGCAAGAATCAGGCCTGCAGAGGGGGAGGGGGCCCTATGAGAACTGATGCCCAGAATAATCAGGTGATAGGAAACGGAAGCTCTCCATAGAGATGAATAAGACCTGGGAAGGAGGGGGTACCACCAGAGCTCCCTGGATTCCCCAGTTCCCAAGGTATTCCCTGCCCTGTCTGACTGGACCAAGGCATAAGAGGCCAGTTGGCCGTGGGGGGCCCTTATCTCACAGAACAGTCTTCCCCTCCTTCCTCCTCCCTGTGGTCCTGGCCAATGAGTCCAGCCTCCAAGAGCTGGTGGTACAAGCTTACCCGTCCGTCCGGGTCTTCTACATCTGCAATGAGTGCGGCAAGAACTTCAGCCAGTGGTCCAAGGTTGGGGAGTGAGGCTGGGGGTGAGGGGAGGTCAAGAAAAGCCTGAGGTCAGTTCCCATTGTGTACTCCTCTCTGCCCCCAGGGTCCCAGGAGCCCTCGGCCATCCTGAGCTGGGTAATGGAGCCTGAGGCAGTGCTGTGGGGCCCGGATCTTCGGAGTCCTGAACAGAGCGCAAACGATGTTCACAAAGGTGAGGGGCACAAGCAAGGACTTCGGTCCTGACAAGACAGTGGCCCCAGTCAGGGCGGGACCCAGACTCTGGGGGAAGCCTAGGGAAGGGAAGAGAGACCAGACCCCGTGTTCTGAAAGGAGATGGGGGCTGGAGACTCCCTTTCTCTCTGTAGGTGCGGAGAGTGGGAACGAAGAGGAGAGTCCTCAGCAGGAAAGTTCTGGGGAGGAGATCATCTTGGGAGATCCAGCTCAGAGTCCAGAATTCAAGGACCCACCAGAGATGCCCCTGGAGGGGCCCTCCCTGGATCCCTCCATCCCTCAGGACCCCCAAGCCTCACTGGGTCACCCCAACTCCTTGGACCACGAGACCCCTCTGGATCCCCCAGCCTCCGAGGTAGTCCCTGCCCCTTCTGACTGGACCAAGGCCTGTGAGGCCAGTTGGCAGTGGGGGGCCCTTACCACATGGAACAGTCCTTCTGTGGTCCCAGCCAACGAGCCCAGCCTGCGAGAGCTGGTACAAGGACGCCCATCTGGGGCTGAGAAGCCTTACATCTGCAATGAATGCGGCAAGAGCTTCAGCCAGTGGTCCAAGCTGCTGCGGCACCAGCGCATCCACACCGGTGAGCGGCCCAACACCTGCTCCGAGTGCGGCAAGAGCTTCACGCAGAGCTCTCACCTGGTGCAGCACCAGCGCACGCACACGGGCGAGAAGCCCTACAAATGTCCCGACTGTGGCAAGTGCTTCAGCTGGAGCTCCAACCTGGTTCAGCACCAGCGCACGCACACTGGCGAGAAGCCCTACAAATGCACCGAGTGTGAGAAGGCCTTCACCCAGAGCACCAACCTCATCAAGCACCAGCGCTCCCACACAGGTGAGAAACCCTACAAGTGCGGAGAGTGCCGGCGGGCCTTCTACCGCAGCTCAGACCTCATTCAGCACCAGGCCACCCACACAGGCGAGAAGCCCTACAAGTGCCCCGAGTGCGGCAAGCGCTTTGGCCAGAACCACAACCTCCTCAAGCACCAGAAGATCCATGCGGGCGAGAAGCCCTATCGCTGCACTGAGTGTGGCAAAAGCTTCATCCAGAGCTCGGAGCTGACCCAACACCAGCGCACACACACCGGTGAGAAGCCCTACGAGTGCCTCGAATGTGGCAAGAGCTTTGGCCACAGCTCCACCCTCATCAAGCACCAGCGGACTCACCTCCGTGAGGACCCCTTCAAGTGTCCCGTGTGTGGCAAGACCTTCACCCTGAGTGCCACGCTGCTGCGACACCAGCGCACACACACGGGCGAGCGGCCCTACAAATGCCCGGAGTGTGGCAAGAGCTTCAGCGTCAGCTCTAACCTCATTAACCACCAGCGCATCCACCGCGGCGAGAGGCCCTACATCTGTGCAGACTGTGGCAAGAGCTTCATCATGAGCTCGACCCTCATCCGCCACCAGCGCATCCACACGGGGGAGAAGCCCTACAAGTGCTCTGACTGTGGCAAGAGCTTCATCCGAAGTTCCCACCTCATCCAGCACCGACGCACTCACACAGGCGAGAAGCCCTACAAGTGCCCCGAGTGCGGCAAGAGCTTCAGTCAGAGTTCAAACCTCATCACCCACGTGCGAACCCACATGGACGAGAACCTCTTCGTCTGCTCTGACTGTGGGAAGGCCTTTCTGGAAGCCCACGAGCTGGAGCAGCATCGGGCCATCCATGAGAGGGGGAAGGCCCCAGCCCGCAGAGCTCAGGGTGATTCTCTGCTGGGCTTTGGGGACCCCGCCCTGCTGACTCCACCGCCTGGAGCCAAACCCCACAAGTGTCTGGTCTGTGGCAAGGGCTTCAACGATGAGGGCATCTTCATGCAGCATCAAAGGATCCATATTGGAGAGAACCCCTATAAAAATTCAGATGGCCTCATCGCCCACCCAGCCCCCAAACCACCTCAGTTCCGACCCCCGAGGCTCCCTTTTGGAGGGAATTCCTATCCAGGTGCTGCAGAGGGCAGGGCTGATCCCCCGGGACAGCCCTTTAAGATGCCTGATGGGCAGGAGAGCTTCAGCCAGAGACTGGGACTGCTCTCCTCCAAGTCTTATATCTGCTCCCACTGTGGAGAGAGCTTCCTGGATCGCTCTGTGCTCCTCCAGCATCAGCTCACCCATGGCAATGAAAAGCCCTTTCTCTTTCCCGACTATAGGATTGGACTTGGGGAGGGGGCTGGGCCCAGTCCCTTCCTTAGTGGGAAACCCTTTAAATGCCCTGAATGCAAAAAGAGCTTTGGCCTTAGCTCTGAGCTGCTACAGCACCAGAAATTCCATGCAGGCGGGAAACCTCAGAAGAGTTCTGAGCTGGGAAAGAGTTCTTCTGTCCTCCTGGAGCACCTCAAGAGCCCCCTGGGGGCCAGACCCTACAGCTGCTCAGATTGTGGGGCCTCCTTCCTCGACCGCCTGGTCCTCATCAGGCACCAGGAGACCCACACCCAGGAAAAGTCCCCCAGACCCGAGGAGCCCCATCCAGAGCCAGCTACCCTGTCCACAAGTCAGGAAGGTGAAGGGGAGGCCCCAACACCCACAGGAAGTAGTCACCGCGGAGAAGGGGAAACCCCTAAAGCCCTCTTGGGTGAAAAACCCTATTTGTGCCCTGAGTGTGGAGACGGTTTCACAGAAGTCGCCGGCCTCCTCCTCCATAGGAGTTGCCACCCAAGCGTCTCCCTCTGAGGAGGGTCTGGAGACCCAGGGGGCCTCTCTCTACTGAGAGGCACACTGGAGTAAGGAGGAAAACCCGGTTAGATGGTAGAGAAAGCGGAGAATAAAGAACCCTGGGTAAAAATAGTGCTTTTACATACAGGATGAGAAACCCTATAAAATTGTTGGGGGAAACCACTTATAAGGCAGCATAGGAAAACTGTTGGGTTAGAAACCCTATAAATATGTAGGAAAAAAAAAAAGCCCTTTAAGTCTGTAGCAGAAAAACCCTATAAACCATAGTGGATAAAAAAGCCCTATTAATTGTAGGAAGAGGTCCCAATATGTCTCTAGACAAACATATAAAACTGTATTGATATCCTTGTGAAACTATAGGGTCGGGGGGAAATGCAGGGAATTCAACAATGGCATTTGGCATTGACTTGAGAGGTGTGGCCCTCCAAAGCATATGAAAACCTCCCATAAACTTGTTCCACCGTGTTCTCTCCCACTGCACAGTGTGGGAAGGAGCATCTCTCCCAGCAGCCTTGGACAGTTACCTGGAGATAAGCTCACCTGGGGAGTAGCATGACAATGGGGTGGAATTGGAAAAGGGAGAGTGAAAACAGGAGAAAAATAGTTAGGCGAGCAGAACAGGAGAAAGGATCCAGCTAATTGCACAGGGGTTTCTTGGAGTCAGAGGCCAAAGAGCCCAAAACATGGAGAAGGGAGCAAGAACGTATGCCATGTCTTTTTAAAGGCTGATGTTTGTGGTGCACAGAAACTTCAGTGTAAGAACACTGGGAATTCACCCCCAAAACTTGAAGGAGGAGTAGGAGGATTTGTTAGATTGCTTTGAGGGAAGCAAATCAAGATGGAAAAACTGTTCAAATGAAAACCCAGTTGACTCCCGGCTGCCTAGTTTACCCCGTTTCTGGAAGCTTCTGCAAGTACAGGTAGATCCTAGCTCTGGTCACAGGGATTTGCCCTGATTCAGGCATGGTTACCCCTACCCCCAGTTCTACTGGGGGCTTCTACTCCCAAGAGGCATTCCAGGACAGAGGGACCCTCTCTATTCTCAGGTCTGTCAGGTTTTCCTGAAATCTAACTGCCGTCAGTCTTGCTGCGGTGACAACCCATCTCCTCACATTTTGCCCCCAGTGGAGAGGGAGAACCGCCGCTAGTTGACCTCCAAAGAATAAAGCCCTTTAGAGACTCAGGCCTGTGTGTGGTCAAGTCCTCTCTAGGCTTCTCTTCAAGTCAACCAGAGCCATAGTAGATTCCCTGTGACAACAAGAGACAGCAAGCTGGTCCAATAGAAAGCTTCCAGTAGCCAGCAACCTGATTTTTAAACTTCAGTCTTCCATCTGAGCTGTTAGCAAGGCGGTCTGCAGGAATGAATGACCTACATATTGAGGTGGGTGTCTGACACCCTGTGAACTGGGCCATACATCCCAAAAGAGTTTACAGAGGCCTAACCATCTTCCCCAGCCCAGTACCTGGAGCCCTCTGAGGTTGCAATGACCCAGCCCAACCTTGGCCTGGGGAAAGGACTGATCCTACCCACTTGACTCCTCTCCTCTTCAACCAGAAACCTGAGCGATAGAAGGAATAAGAAGCGCGGCTCTTCTGCCAGGTCCATCTTGTGTTCTCACACACCACACACAATTACACACTTTCATAAGCCCAGCCAAATTCTGGGCATGTGTGGTAGGGGAAAGACTGTGGCCCTGTCAAATGGTTGAAGAAAGAGAACTCTTGAGAGAAAACACCTGTGTCAAGAATCCCACCCCTTAAACCTGGAGACCCTTAATGAAGGAGAGGACTGTTTAGTGCTGGATCTAAAAGGAAAAGTGATCGATCACCCCACGCTGGCTGCCACCCCAGTGAGGGTCAGCTGAATTCCTACAAAGCTGTACAAGAGATCTCTAATTCCATCACCTAAAAGTTCTTTAACCCATCATTTAACTTGCCCCCAAAGGGATGATCCTCAAATTTGAAAAGGATCCAAATCTTGAACATTGTAGGAGAAAACGTCTAGGTTTGCTGGAGAGAAGGGAGAAGTGGGCCATTTATGATTGTGGGCAAGAACCTTGTTAACTTTGCCATAATGCGCCCTCCAGCCCCCACCCCACAATGCCAGGTAGGAATGCACTACTGAGAAGGAAGGAGCCTGCCTCCTAGACCTCTATCGAAAGAAACGTTAACTAAGATGAGGAAAAGGAGTTCAATCTTCCAAGTCTTAAGTCCCAGCCCTCTTAAGATGAGAGCAAAGGAAACGTACATTGTAGAGACAAACCCCTTGTAAAGCTAGAAGCAGATCCCCTTGGAAACAGTGCTGGGGAACAACAGCCTTTGGGGCTCAAAGGGGAGGTGGTCCGCATAGTCAGAGGCCAACTATAGGCCTGTCAGGACTAGGGTGTAGCGTAGAGTAGGATGCTCGCATGTTGTAGGGATGGGTGAGGGCTAACGTCTTAGCTCCGGTACTGAATGGATGATGTGGACATGATCCACTGGGGTCTGGGGCTTCAAAGCAGGGAAAGGGCAGAGTTGGACACCTTTGGGATGTGCTCTGTTCTCTCTTACCCACCCACATCTCCCACACTCCTTTAAGAAAGGGGGCTTTTCTCCAGAGTAAGGTATATCTTGTTGGGTGGCAGCCAGGAGAAAGCTGGCTGGGAGAGGTGGCCCACTGAGTGAATGGCAGCGTTGGGTGTCCTTCTGACCGACTCAGGCACAGACAGGGACTGTGGCCTTTGCCCACCAGAACTGAGTCTGAGAGGCTTTGCATGCCATCCCCTCACATCCAGCTTCATGCAGGCCCCAGACCCCTCTGAAGTGCCCCGTGGAGGTTCCCAATACACAGGTCCAGGGAGTCACTGGGGACAGAGAAACGGACCGAGATCAAGGTGAAACTGGAACATCTATGGCTGTGGAGGTCAAAGGGGAACTCTAAAGAACTGGGCATGAATTCTGAATTGTGGGTAAACTTGAAACCATCACAATCAAGATGTGGGGTTCCATGACACCCACCCCACACTGAGGTAAACAGCCCTAGACCCCTTTGTCTCCCTAAAGGCAGCCCCACTCACCTGAGTTGTCCCCCAGGAGTGAAGAAAGGCCCCACCTTTGAGTGTTTTGTGTCAATAACAGTGTTGTGTCACCGGTGGTCATGTTTAGTAGTTGACAAGAATAAAGGGAGTAAGATTTCCTAGGTGTTTTCTCTCTCCTCTTTCAGACTAGAGCAAGTTGAAAAGGCTTGCGCTTTCCCAGAATCAGAGTTCAGGTATGACCTCAAAAGCCCAGCCCAGCTCCAGGCCCCTCTTGCCCTTTACCCAGGCACTAGAGTCCTCATTTGGTGCCTTGGGATGGATGGGAGGCTGAGGGGTTTGAGAGGTTTGAAACCCATACCCTTGGTGAAAGTGAGGGGACACCTTATAATGGCAGTGTTGGGGCCAGGTGTCTGGCTGCTGGGTGACTGGGTCTGGCCAACTCGGGTCCACAAGCTGCCAGTCACCTCCCCTGGTTCAACTAGGTCTTGGGGTTCCTTGTCTCTAAGGAGAAATGGGTGGAGACTTGTTTCATCATTTCACTCTTGGGGTGTCAGTCTGGGGACCCTCTCGGCGTGGAGTGGCAGAGACTCTGAAGGGCAGCCACTTGGCTATGTTCTACAAGTCAGTGAGGGAAACCAGAATGGCCTTTCAGCCTCCCCTCCCCTCCATATTGAGGTCCTGGTGTGGCGCTGTAGGATAATGCACTGGATGGTAAGGCTGGTTTGAACCGTAAGGTTGGCAGTTCAAACTCACCAGCCTTGGAAACCTTATACAGGGTTGCTGAGTCAGAATCAACTCAACAGCACTTTAACAACTACCCCTCCCGTATTGAACCTGAGCTTCAGAGTGTGAACCAGCGGGGCCCAAGTTGTAGGAGGTCAGCATTTGTTCTGGCCTGCCACCTGTCTGTGAGGGGCTTCCTGTTCGGTCTCCCCTTAGAGCTCACTGTCCCTCCTTCCCCCTTTTCATCTGAAGGGCTAGAGGAGAGGCAGGAAAGGAGGGGGTGCTGGTAAAATCATACTGCTTTCCCACTAAGAGGTGGGTAATGAAGGTCATTCTACATTTCCTGTGTACACAGTCCTTAGAACACTGAAGTTCGTCAGAGTTGGTTCCAGTGACGAGGGAGCACTGGAACAGAGACTTAGAAGGGACCAGAGATGGTGCCTGCCACAGCAGAGGGCTGGAGAAAGTGACCTGAGGGATGAGGAGGGGTCAGGGTGAGGACTGAGGGACTGTGTTAGGTATGAGTGCAGGGGCTGGGGCTAGCTAGCATAGTGTGTAGAGGAGGGTCTTGTTCTAGCAGCTTGGGGATGGGGAAATCCTGTTTCCCTCAATTAGTAGTGCTTTTCCTGGCCTAGCACTTTGGAGAGAACTGGGCTGGAGTTCCAGTTTAGTTGTAGCCAAGGTCATGGATAAACACACCGAGGGAGAATGGCAGAGTGGTGGGGGTCTCGCCTAGGAATCGAGGGAAAAGATCAGCGAAGTTGCTGAGGAGGTGCTAGCAGCCTGGGGTGGGGGGGTTTAGGAAAGACAGCATGGTACCACAGGAACACTGCTCAGCATCAGATGCTTCACAGAACCTCGTGGCCAGTCACAGAGAGGAGCCCTCTTTCTGGTGGGAACAGGCACCTTCACCACTGAGGTCAACATCTGCTGGGGCAAGGCTGGTCCAAGCAGAGCTTTGGCCTCTCCATCCCTGAGGCCCAAAGAATCAGTCACTGAAGCATTATTATCAGGTGCTGTGGAGTTGATTCGGACTCATAGTGACCCTACGCACAACAGAATACTGACGAGTCCTGTAGCATTCTCACAGTTGTTAAATTTGAGGCTGTTTTTACAGCCACTGTGTCAATTCATCTTGTTGGGGAGCGGTCTTCCTCTTTACCTCTGGCCCTCCATTTTACCAAGCATGATATCCTTGGGACTGGTGTTGGAGCCATCCTTACTTGCTCCCCTCACTGACATTTTGGAATCTTTATTTCATATTCTTGAGTGTGAGAAAATAGTTTGACATATTTTTTTAAGTGCTGTAACAACTCATAGTGATCCTTTATAGGCTTCCCGAGGAGCACTGACCATTCTGTTAGCAGTCCAGTGCTTATCCGACAGCGCCATACCAGGACTCCTTATATTGTTAAGTACTATTGGGTCGGTTCTGACTCACAGCAACCCTGTATAGGGTTTCCAAGGAGTGGCTGATGAGTTTGAACCCAGACCTTGTAGTTTAAGCCTCTCTTGCAGTCCACTGCTTTTATTCTACAGAGCTACACTAGGACTCCCTTACAAGCACCCACAAATTTTAGCTTCTTTTGATAAACTGACCACTAGGGGAGATGTTTGAGAAGGCAATTGTGTATAGTTAACCCCCATGCGTTGGGAAAGGGGCGCATTCAGAGTGGACTCCTGGGACTCAAAGGGCCGGCTACCTCCGCCTGAGGCCCCCACCACGCCAACGCCTGCTTTCCCAGGGCGCAGCTGGCTGCACCTCTATGATGCAATATCCTGTGTTTTGCCCACCTTTGCTTCAGTTGTGCCGGTGGCTATTACCTCAGTGGCCCGATGCCATCTCCTGTGGCGGCCCGCGCCTCCGCAAGCGTGCCTACCACCACCGGCCCTGTACTCTCTCCCAATGTAGCCCGCCCCTCGGTCTCCGATCCGACCTGGTCCGGCTGCAGTGGCCCCGCCGAAGCCCTAGGCACCAAGTGGATCCCGAAAGCCGTCAAGGATAGGAGTCCCCGTGAAGGCGCAACCACAGACAGGGCCGTGGGATCCCACGACAGCGTTACCACTGAAAGGTTGGTGGCCATGGCCCCAATTCCAATTCCGGCCCGGACCTCGGTCAGCATCGGCACCAACGCGAGTCCCAGTGCAGCATCCGTGAAATCTTCATCCGAACTAAACCCAGACACTGCCTTGGCGCATGGGTCCTGAGCACATGGCCAAAAGCCAGCACAGGTTACAATGAAAAGTCATTCCCCTTAAGTGTCCTATTGTCCATCGCGGGAGGGGAGGGCGGGGCGACAACTTGTAAGGCTAAGTCGCTATGCCAACTTCGCCTTCGGACAGTAGAGTTGGATACCAGATCTATCTCAACTGAATGCCTTCCGGCCATGTGCGAAAGACTACACTTCCCAGGATGCAGTTCGAAGTTCCCCAGCAACACCCAATAGGAAGGCAGAATGCCAAAGGCTAGTCACAGCCGACGGGAGATGCCAAATCTGGTAGCCTTAGGTCTGGAAATGAGGTAGGTGAGCTCCAGAAGCCATGCCACAAGGCTGCTTCTGCGCAGACGCAGACGCGCTCCTCCTCCCGGACAGGTCATCTGAGACAGGAAATCTGTGAAGGTCCCGCAGCCTAAGCACAAGGGGGTGGTCTTTGGGAGGGGCCACGAAAGAAGGGTCTCCTATCACGGGGAAAGTGTATCTAAAAATTGAGCACCACGGCCAGAGCAGTAGTCTGGCTACTCGATGGTTGGCTGAATGTGGGACATTTATTCATACAATGAACAGCCTATACAAGACACCTCTGTAATATAGGGGTTGTACGTCTAAATAGGTCCCAGTATTTATCAGCAGCTCCACCTCCCAGGCCCTTCTGGGTGCTGCCTTGATGGCCCATGTAGTTTACATGAGCAGGTGGCACAGGTAGCATGGCAGGGGCAGGCTCAGTCACAGGGTAGCTGGGGGAAGCTCTTCTGACTGGAATGATCAGAAGTTGGCCCAATGGCTGGCCTGTCCCTTTCCTTCCAGGTAGGTTCTGCTTCCATTGCAGATAAGACCACAAGGATGAAAGCAGGGCCAGAGCTGGGTCCAAGGGAGCCTTAGGGTACATGAGGGTAAGTGGCTTGGGAGATAAAGGGAAACTGGGAAGATCTATTTAGCTCATAATTGATGTTCTTGGTTGAACACTCCAAGATGACTGCAGCGACCTCATAGGAACCCGATGGTGGTGGTGGTGGTGTCACTCTCCTCAGGGACCACTCCTGGTTCTCCTGGCTGTATAGCCAGATGGTGAGCCTCTAGTGGGAAGTCACCACCCAGGGAATTTCCTCCTTAAACTAGGATGGACCATGAAGCCTGAGAGGGTAGGCCAGCTTTTGGGAAGCTCTGAGAGCTCTGGGACCCTCAGCTTCTTGTGGGAGACCTTCCTTGCAGGGTGGGGTGCCTCCCAGGCTGCCCCTCTAACGAAAAAGATGAAGCTTTTTCAAGAAAAGACGAAGCTGAGCTTGGCTGATCCCATTAGCATGCACTAGGGCCCCCAAACCAACTAGATGGGCAGGAACTGGGCCCATAGGGTCTGGAATGCAGAATACGGCCAGGCATAGGACCTGGGATAGAAAGAGGCTAGGGGCACAGCCCCCAGGGCCCACGGTGCTCCAAAGTTCCCTGAGTCACAGGTTCAGCTGATGTAGACACGATGGAAGTCATGGGCACCAAAGGCTGCGTTGCACTTGGGGCACTTCCTCTGGCGTGCCTCATAGCGGCCCCTCACGCACTCGAAGCAGAAAACGTGGAAGCACTTGGTAAGCACTGCATCCTTCTTGCGGGTGTTACAGCAGGGGCAGGTCAACCGCGCCTGGGCCAGGCAAAGGCATTAGCTTGAGAACCAGCCTGATGGTGCTCAGACCCTAACCAGGCTGTAGGAGCTGGCCCAGCTGAACCCACCACACATCTAACTCCTCCCCCACAACCCTGGGAGATGGTGCACGTGAGCACTCTACAAATGAGGAAAATGAGATTCAGTGGCCAAGGTCTCAAAACTGGAAATCATCAGAGTCAAGATTCCAACCTGGGCATACTAGTTGTCACATGTGTTAAGGGTTAAGGACCCATAGGCCTTCCCACAGGCCTTCCCTGGGCTGTTCTGCCACGGTTCTCCTATGGCAAAACCCCAATCCTGATTCAAGATGCCACCTGCAACTGCTAAGTCACCTCCAGGCATAACAGTGTCTGCTGTCTCCATCCTCAACTGGACACCAGATGCTGTCTAGAGGTCCTGCGGTGAGTGCCTGGACTCACTTCTCCTATCTTCTGAAACTTCCCACCCACCAGCAGGAAGTCTCGCCTTTCAACTCCAGAAAGGAGTTCTATACTCAGTGCTCTCTAACATGCCTCCTACTCTATCTGCATGAAGTCCCATCCCAGCATCCCCTCAAGCATCACCTCGACCCTCTCACTCGGGACCCTCCTTATTAGCATTGAACTAGCTCAGAGTCCAAGCTTTAGAGATCTTCTCTTCTACTCCGTGGCTGTCTCTGCCCCTTTAAGACCAACCTCCTTCAAAGGGTTGCTACCAATTTCAACCCACCCTCTCCTCAAAATACAGTTGTTGAGAAGGCAGGGCATTTGACCTCCAGAACAATGCCATTCCCACCAAGACCACCAGGCCCCTGCTCAGGTTCTGTGCCTCTTGACAGCTGACTCAGCTTACTGCACGCCCCCACCCCCCGACCTGTATCACTCCCAACCACAGCCTCTTCTTCCTCTGCCCATCACTTAAGTTTTGAAGTTCCTACAGCTCCCATATCTTCCTCAGTCCATCCTTAGACATAATCCACCAGAATCTGCTCCAGGCAATTTTCCTAATGCCAGTAAATGGCACCAAACTGTGAGCCCAGGAATCCTCTGTAATACTTCCCCATCCTTCACTCCATGCATCGGATCCATCTCCAAGTCCAGGCGGTTTTATGTCCTTTCTCTCCTAAACCCCTCTCCTTGTCTGTAACACCTCAGTATCATTGTTCCCTCAACAGTGACAGCCAACAGATTTCACTGCCTCTATAGTCTTAACTCCTCCATCCAAATCCGACAGAAGTCTAACCATGTCACCACCCCTGCTTAAACCCTGACATCCCCACACTACCTAGAGTAAAGCAAGCATCTCAGGTGTCCCTCTTTCCACAAAACCCACGTTCTCTCCTTCAACCCTGATGACGACCAGCTCTCTGTCCTCTCCACTTGAGGCCTCCACATCAGCCTTTTCTTTTGCCTAAAAGCCTTCTCACCCCATTCCACACAGCAACCCTACTCATTCTTCAGCCTCTGGTGACACTCCTTCCAGAGTTTGATGACCCCTAGTAAGGGCTTTCCTTAGCTTGCCACAGCCCTTCTCTGGCCTCTGCCATTCCATCACTCAGCATTTGGCTAAAGACTGTCTTGGCTGCTTCCTCCTCTTAAAAACACCCCTACCTAGCGCTGTGTCTGGCACCTGTAGGGGTATACTCTTAATTTCACAACCAATGTTTTGTCCCAAACCTTTTTACTATCCCACCTTGTCTCTGTTGTTGGGTGTCACTGTGTGAATTTCAACTTCTAGCGATGCTACCTGTTCTAGCAGATGCTACAGTTCTAGCAGAACTGCCCACTGGGTTCCCTAGGCTGTAACCTTCAGGGGACCAGGTCGCTAGGTCTTTTTTCCAAGGGAGTCACTGTTAGGCTCCATTCACTGACCTTTAGGTCAGCAGCTGAGCACTTAACCTGTCTGCTATCAGAGCTCCCTCACTTTCCTCTAGGGTTCCTAAACTCCCCACTACAATTCTCCCCAACCCCTCATCTCAGTTTTTGGGTTGATGGGACAAAGCTCAGGCCACAGCCCCACCTTGTATTCCTTGATTTCCTCCTGGAGGATTTCATCAGCATCTGCATAAACCTCCACCTTCCTCTGCTTCTCCAACTTGCGCCGCAGCCGTGAGATGTCCTCCTGGGGTGAGAGAGGCTGAATAGCACAAGGGCCCTCACCCTGAACTGCCCAATCCCACCCAGAGCTCCATCCGCTCTCCAGCCCCCACACACCTGAGCCCTCTTGAGGTTGAAGCTCTCTTTCTCGCGAGCAGCCCGGCTTTCTGCCAGGCATGGCTGGATCTCTCGAAGCCGTGTTTGTACATGCTCCAGCTGCACCTTCAGGTCCTCAGCCAACTGAGCTGCTTCCACAGCCTGTGAGGCAGGGCAGAGCAAAGAGGACCATGTTCCTGAGCCTGCTGAGTCAGGCCGCAGTATACCAAAGCTTGCATAAAAAACTTCTAGTGGTTTCTGCTCTTGTATCTGCACCAGAGCTGTCTTGCCAGCTGACCTCTCAGCACTCACCTTAGACTCTCCCGAAATGAGTTTCGGACACATTGCTCACCTAATACTTTGTGTTTGGGCTTTCACAGAGCTCTCCTCTGTGTTCCCTTCAATTGTCCCAATAACGATGTTTCCTCTGAGCTCAAATGTCTGGCCTCCTGAGAGCAGCTTCCCTCCTTGTCTTTCATAGCACCTTATTTTCCTCAAGACTTACTGTGCTCTGTAACAACATCTTCTCAAGACTGGAAGTTCCACAAAGACAGGGCCCTTCTTATTTCCACTGTCTCCCCAGATTCAGCTGAGAACACAGCAGAAGTGTGAAAATACCACTTAAATCACAGAGCTGGAAAAACGATGACAAGCTTAAGGCTTTACCCTGAGTTCTGCAGCTGTGTGACAGAGACATCCCCCCACCTCCTAACTTACGCAGTGGTGTAGCACATGGCTCCTGGAACGAGAGTGTGAGCTCCTCTTTCCTGAGCAAGTCAATCTCCCAGACCCTGTTTCCTCAGGTACAAAAGAAAGCTACTAAACTAGCTTGTGAGATTGAAATGTGACCCAGCTTGGGCTCTGGCACACAGTCTGTACGGACACACGTGAGCGCTTAACCAGTTCAAGGTCCTCTGTGACAAGAGACCTAGCCATGCTTCACCCCAGGCCTGGCTCTTCAGAGGGGCAGAGTGTGATCTGACCACGGGGGAGTGAGCCAGAACCCTAGTCTCACCTTCCTCTTGTTGAGCTCCAGAGCCTGGCTCCGCAGAGTCAGCTCCTTTTCCACACCGCCAAGGCTGCCCTGCAAGGCCCGCTCCTTTTCCTCCAGCTTCTGCACGGTCAAAAGCTGTGCATCCACCTGAGGACAGGGGAGGACTCAGTGCTGGGGAGCCCCCAGCTCTCCAGCTCCACCCCACACAGCCAGGGCAACCTCACCTGGGACTTGAGGCCAAGAACCTGCTCGCCCAGCTCATCCTTCTCCTCCCGTAGGAGCTTGTGAATCTGGTTGGCCTTGATCCGCTCAGACATCAGTTTAAAGTTGGCATCGTCCTTTTCCCGTAGCTGCTGTAGCAGCCGCCCATTCTGTTCCTGCATGTCCTCAAAAGCCTGGCCTGTCACATCCATCTCTGACAGCAGTGCCTCCTCTTCCTGTAAGGGAGCAGGGACAAGGAGTGTGGTAGAGACAGGACGGCCGTGGGGAACCACAGCAATACATGGCTGGGCCAAGGATCCATCAAGGTGCCACCACATTAGAGGCACCCAACCCAACGGGGTTGCTAAGAGAATCCCCAGGGTTCAGAAGTAAGGGGACCACAAAGGGGGCCACACCTGCTTTGTGGCACCCAACTTGCGCTGCAGGTGCTCAATCTGCTCTTCCGCCTGCCGAATGCGCCGCAGGGCGTCCTCGTCAGCAATCTTCTTGCTCTCTCTCCGATCCCTCTCCTCCAATTCCCGGATGCGGCTTCTTAGCTCATCCACCTATAGCCACCAAGAGAAGGGAACATTCCTGTCACTGCATCTTGCTGACCTGGGGCTCTCCCCTGCTCAGGACCTCTGGGGCAACCTCTCCACATGGCCTAGGCCCTACCTGCCCTCACCTCAGCCTTGGCTTTACGTTCTGCGGCCATGAGCTGCACCTTATCCCGTTGCTCCTTGGGTGCTGACTTATACATATCTAGCAGCAGTTTCATCTCCTTCTGGCTCTCCTGGGCTTTCCTAAGGTAGGGAGCCAAGGACGGCTTGGTGAGGGCTGGAGGCTACTTGGCAGGGGCGGGAAGGGTAGGAGACAGGAACAGGGACTCACTTGAGCTCTGCTCGGAGACCCTTGAGGAGCTCTGATTCTTTCCTCTTGGCCTCTTCCACCTTGGCCTTCTCCCGGTCAACCCTTGAGAGAGCTAAGGTTGCAGATGGGGGTCCAAGGCCAGGCCCCTCCCGTTCTCGAAGCTCCCGCTTAGGCCTGCCCTCAGGTTCTCGGCCTCGGGAAGAGGGGCCCTGGGCCCCAGGGGTTATGGCCTGGGCATCCTCTTCAGAGGGGAGCAGTTCCTCCTTCCTCACTGCTGAGGCCGTTACTGCGACACCAGGCACTGGAGTCATCTCCTTCCTGGTGTCGGGGGCACCACCAGTTCCTGGTCCACCCTCTTCTTTTCCTGGGGCTGGGGCACTAAGGCCAGGATCCTCTGGATGGCCCAGGTTAGGGGTGGAGTGAGTAGAGCCACTGGCCTGGGCCCGGAGCTGAGCAGACAGACAGGAAACAGGATCAGGTGCGACAATGCTCACTAGGGTCCAGGAAAAACTCTTCCCAAGCAGCCCCCTAACACCCACTCACCTTGCCAATCTCAGCCTGCACTTCCCGCAGCTTCCGCTTATAGCGCTGGGCATCCCCCTTCAGCTGGTGGTTGTGATTCTGCAGGCTGCTGATTAGGTGGCGCATCTCCCGGTTGATGGGCCCTGGAGGGGGTGTCAGGAAGTAAGAGGTCCAGCTGGTCCCCGGGTCACAGCTTCATCCCGGGGGGTGTGGAAGACGCTGAGCCAGGGCCAGCACTCCCGTTATGCAGGAGAGAGGAAAACTGAGACCTTCTGGTGTGGCACTATAGGACAAGCACTGGAATACTATCCACAAGGTCGGCAGTTCAAACCCACCAGTCACTCCTTGGAAACACTACACAGGGTTGTGAAGTTGGAACTGACTCAACGGTACTTAACAATATAGTGTGTTAGGAGGACGGTGGCACTGTAGGATAAGCACTGGACTGTGAACCACAAGGTCAGAAGCTTGAGCCCACCAGCTGCTCCATGGGAATAAGATGAATTTTTATGAAACTCCCTCAAAGAATTATAGCCTCAGAAACTCTATACATGATCACTTAGTCGGAACCAACTCAACAACACTTAACAACATAGTATGTGTGTTGGGGCAAGATGGTGAGGCGTGCAGTCACGCTGTGCAGACCCTTTGCAACACAGACCTGGGGTGAACAAGTGAAGCAGAGACTGATGGTGCTCCTGGAACCCTGAGCTTCAGAAGAGAGGGCACAGAGGCAGACTCAGGGCTGATTGAAGGGGGAGCTGAACAGATGCAGCAAGAGAAGAAAAACACGCGGGCTGGCTCTCAGCTGACATGGAGCCAATGCAGCCATCCTGAGCTTTTGCAAGTGGCTGCCAATACTGTGGCCTGTGGGCACAGGGCTGGGCTGCAGGTGGGAGACATGAGGGGTGCAGTCCTCCCTTCTTCTCTTGCCCTCCTGGTAGGTGGGGCGTGGCCAGTCCTGCCATCACCAACACAACGGCCAGTGGTACCCCCTCCTGCGCAGCCTCTGCCTGGGATCCTTCCAGAGGCCCGTGAACCCACCCTGAGCTACACTACACAGACAGGGAACCGAGACCTGTGTTCAGACTTCCTTCCAGTCTCTATCACACCCCCAAGGAGAGAGGTGGCGAGTGCCTGAAAACACACCAACGAAAGTCTCCTTAAGTGGGCTCTGACTCAGCGACCAAGGATCGGCTGGTGGGTTTGAACCACCAACCTTGCAATTGGCAATCCAGTTACTTATCCTATAGTGCTGCACCAGGAACATATAACCATCAATTAAATATAAATATGATGATACCACCACTATGTCTCAGAGAAAACAAACAACTTTAGCTTATATTAAGAAATGAGAGTCCCTCAAACAAGTAACCAAAATCTATTGCTGTTGTTAAGTGCTGTTCAGTTGGTTCAGACTCATAGGAACCTTGTATAGGGTTTCCAAGGAACAACTGGTGGATTTGTACTGTGGACCTTGTGATTAGTAGTCCAGTGCTTATCTTACAGTGCTATATAGAGTCAGAAAACATACTGGAAATAGAACTACCTAATAAGTAACTTAAAAGAACGCTATTTAGGAACTTTCAACAAATGGAGAGAAAGATCAATGACAGCAAGGAAGAATTCAGGAAAAGAATACAACAAACTGACAAAATAATGGAAACCATACAAAAACAGCAATTAGAAAGTCAGAAGTTTAATACCAAGACTTCAGAAATAGATAATAAATTGAAAACGCAAAGTAGCAGAATTAAATCAATGGAAAGATGAATCAATGAGTTTGAAGACAAATCTCTCAATACTCATCTTCAAGAGGAACAATCGTAAAAAAAAGAATTAAAAATTCTGAAGAAAGTAAGATTTATGTGGGATACCATCAAGAGGAATACCATGTATGTAGGGAATTCCAGAACAGGAAAAGAAAACCATGGAGAGAGTTATCTAAGGGTTGCTGGAAGAATCATTTCCTAACATCTTGAAAGATGAGAATCCTTAGAATAGTTTGGTAAAAATGTAAAGTTAACTAAAAGAAGAACTAAAAAGGCTAAGCTCTGATTTCTCAGCAGAAACCATACAGACAAGAAGAAAATGGGGTGACATATATAATACTCTACAAGAAAAAATTTGCCAACAAAGAATCATATACCCAGAAAAATTGTCCATCAAATATGATGGAGAAATTAGGACATTTCCAGATAAACAGAAATTTTTCATTTTTTTGCAAAGACCAGACCAACCTTACAAGAAACACTAAAGGTAGTTCTTTGGACAGAACACCAACAACAGCAGACAACAACCTGAGACTAACATAAACGACAATAGCACCTAGAACTCAACCCAGATACGTTAAGTGCCATCGAGTCATAGTCAAAGTAAACAAACCTAAAACACTGAAAATAGGGAACCTGAATACCAGTTTACAATAAAAAAAAAAAAAAAAAGGAATAATGTAGTTATGGAACTTTCAAATGAAGAGGAAATCACGTAGATTTCAAGAAAATTAAAAAAAATAAATAAACCTAAGTGTAACCCTAAAAGTAGATCAAACCTTACACCTAGCCCTGGCCAATCTTTACCCCTAACATTAACGTTAGCCCTAACTATGAATCTAACACTAAATGAAGTCCTAGACCTTAACCTAGATTTAGCCATAGTCCTAACCCTAACTCCTTCCTCCTATCCCCACCCCTCCAAATATATTTAGTACATGTAGTTCAGCAAACTAATCCTTAAAAGTAAGTTAACCTTGCCTCTTGCTATAATTTCTGCTAGAGTTGTAAAAACAAAAGTTAGTCAGTAGCCCTAGCCCTAGCCCTAAGTTAACCTTGCCTCTTGCTATAATTTCTGCTAGAGTTGTAAAAACAAAAGTTAGTCAGGTTTCTGTAGATTTGTACACATGTTGCTTGCTTCTTTCTCTGGCCTCCCCATCTAAAATTGTAACACACTTTATCCTGATACTTCCTGTCTTCCATTCAGACTTTATTTAGGAATATCTGGGTGGTACATATGGTGAAGCACTCAACTTCCTGTCAGACCCACCTTGTTGGCAGTTCAAATCCACTCAAAGGCACCTCAGAAAATAGGCCTAGCCATCTACTTCCAAAAAGTCAGGCTTGCAAATCCTTTGGAGCAATTCTACTCTGCACACATGGAAGCCATGTGTCAGAAATGACTCAACCACATTTAACAACTGCTTTGTTTAGCTTGGTATTATTTATCACTAACATAGAGGTTCTATTTTCTTCTTTATTGTCTGATGTCTCCTACTCAAATACTGTTCCACAAGGGCAGGGATTCTTTTGTGTTTAATTCACTGGCATAATCCAAAAGCCTCGGGCCGAGTCTGGCTTCTAGGTGGTTGGTATTCAGTATGTCTTTAGGAAATGAATGCACATCTCTAAGAGAGATGCACTATCAGGCCAGAGAGCCACAGACACAGACCCAGGGCTCCATCAGTCACCTAAACTGACTGTGCCATGAGCCAGGTAATGTAACCTCTTGTGCTTGGATAAGCAGGGCCACTCCCATGACCCAGCACTCCCCGATAAGACCCCACCGCCACCCTGTCCACACCACATACCTGCCTGCTCGTTGGCTGCCAGGTTCTGTTCAAACTCGATGCGCAGCATCTCGTACTCCTTGCGTACCTGGGCCAGCGTGTCCTCCAGCTGGATAACCTCGGTACGCAGCTTCTTCTGCAGACCCAGCTCATCGCTCTGCAAGGGGAGATGCTAGGATCCACCTGAGCCCTCGGCATCTGCTAGCATGCCCCTCTCTTCTTCACTCCACTTTGGACCCTCAGTGGCTTAGGAGAATCTATTCCCAAGGGCCTCTGAGCCTAGGGATCTAGCCCCTACTTCCCAGTCCCCACCTGTCCCGGGGCCACACCTCCATGTGCTCAATGTGTCTCAGGTGGGAGTTCTTGGTGGCCAGCAGCAGCCCCCGGGCTTCATCCAGTTGGGTCTTCACTTGCAGAGACTCGTTATAGAGCAGAGAGAATTGGGCCTGCAGCATGCGGTACTCTCCCGTCTCTCGTACTACCTCTTCAGGAAGGCTCCGCAGTGCCACCTAGGGTGGGAATGCCCCAAAGTGATCAGCAAGCAGGGGGTCAGGGCCAGCCCCTATCTTGCAGGCCTAAGTCTTCCCAGCTCTAACCACAGCCCACCTTGAGGCGCTCATTGGTCCGCACAGCCCCCTGCAGTTCAGCCTGCAGCTTCTCCAGTTCTGCCATGCGGCTGTTGGCCAATTCCTGGTTTTCCTCTAACTCCGCATTCAGCATCTCAAACTATAAAGCAGAAGGGACCATGGAACAGTTTACCTGCCTTCCTCACAGCCCAAATGAACACTCCTTCCAAACTCTCCTGTGCAATACAGGTGGAGTCTAAAGCCCTGAAGATGAGACAGACTAAGAACTGTCCTACGGGCTCCCAGGTGAGTGGAAGAAATTCAATACTATATGGTCAGTCATGAAAACTTTGGCTCTGAACTGACAAGTCCCTTGGAAGCCCTGAAAAGCCAGTTGAAGTAAAGGGTAACAGGGCACAGCGACCCCTGGCAGCACCTAGACAAGAGAGAGTGAGGGCAGGACGAGAAGCAGTCATTCAATGAACTCCCTTAGCGAGGACCTTCCTCAGCCAACCATGTAACAGCACCAATCAGCTCCAACACACTCCTGTTTACTTCTGTTTTATTTTTCTTACTGTTAAAACCCATTCCCAAAATAAGAACCCGGTGTGGCGCTGTAGGATAATCACTGAACTGCAAGATCAGTTTGAACAGCAAGGTCGGCAGTTCAAATTCAATAGCTGCTCCTCAGAAACCCTGTTCAGGATCACTTTGAATTGGAACTGACTCGACAGCACTTAACAACACAACAACAACTAAAACCTAAGCTCTCTCCGTATTGCTCACCAGTGTTCCTAACACCTACCACAGTGTTTGGCAATTATTTACTGAATGAATACATGCAGGGCTTCAGAGACCTTGAGGAGATGTTTGTCCTCAATTCTGATGGGGGACAGGGTTGGAAAAGGTGAGGGAAAGGTTGGGAAGTCTGATGCCCTCTCACCTTTTGCATGCTGAGTGTGATCTGGCCTCCCTGGAAGCCTGAAGAGCTCCCAGACACATAGTAGCCAGAGTTGAGCTGTGGAGACAAAGGTGACAGACACATGAAGGCAAAACTATGGCCCGCAGGACCCAGCCCCGGCTCCATATGACCTAGCTCTTAGCTCCACCTGCTCCAAGGCCTCCGCCAGGTGTTTATTGAGTTTCTGTTCTCGCTTGCGCAGCTTCTCAATGTCCCACTGCAGGTCCTCCACTGATGTCTCCATCTCCAGCACCTTGGTCTCTGCTGAAGTCACTTTATCCTGGAGTTCAGAGTACTGAGGACAACAGAGGGAGCAGATGCTTGGACAGGCAACTTAGTTGCCAACGACTTTCTGAATGTCCCTCTAACCTGAACGCTGCCCCGGTTCTAATCCCACCCCAAAGGCCCTTGACTCCACCTCCAATGAGATGCGGTGGTGCTTCTCTTGCAGTTGGGTGGCCAAGTCCTGTAGGCGCCGGTTCTCACGGCCCAGCTCCCGGGTTCGTGCCTGAGCCACCTCACTGGGGGGTTCAGTATCTCCTGGGAAGGTGGGGCATAGGTAAGAGTCAATTCCAGGGCAATGGAGTACAGTGCTAGCTCATTTTGGAGTCTGCTTCATGCCCAGTGTGATCTACTAGCTTTGCTGCTCATTTCTAATGATAAAGCCAAGAGTCTCTTATTCTAACGGACAGAGGAAGAAACCCAGAGAGAGGAGCCATCTGCAGGGTGGCAGGACTCAGGCTGGGAGAAGCCCATTAGTCTACAAAGCTGCTGCTATGCCTTGTGGATCACTGACTGCTAACAAGGTTTGCTCCCAGAGCTCCAGAGGTCTCCAGCCAGAACAGGGTGGCCTGACAGGCCATAAGAATCCTCCACTCATTTCTCCAGAGTTCAACTTCAAAAATCAACTGTTCCCCTCAGAATATGGGTTCCTTGGGGCTCAGGATATTAGGGGGACTGGGTACTAGGTGTAGCTGAGGGTGGACACCTATGGGGTGGGAGGACAAAGAACGCACCTCTGCTGTATACACGCTGACAGAGTTCTTCCACCTGGCGCTGCAAGCGGTCTGAGGCCTCTACCACACGGGACACAGCTGCCTTGGAGAACTCCATACGATCTTGCAGCTGCAGCTCCACCTCTTCACAGCTGCTGGCACCCAGAGCCACCACAAAAGCCAAGGCTGGCTCACTAAGGGGGGGTCGCAGTTGCATGGGCAGAGGTTCTGAGAGGGACAGACAGATCCTCATGAGTCTAACAGTAGCAGTTCCTTCCACACACTAAGTCTCAGACTGAGTCTGTCACACTCCAGAATCAACATATCCACTGCCTGTAGTTCACTTCTATTCCTATCTCGAATGTGAAACAAGAGTTTCAGAGAGCTAAGTTCCTCCGGGCCACAGACTTTCCAAATCACTTCCTCAGGGAAACCTCCTCTACTTTCCCAATCTAAATTGTTGTTAAGTGACATTGAGTCAGTTCTAACTTACAGCGACCCTCTTTAGGGTTTCCAAGGAACAACTGGTGGGTTTGAAATGCTGACTTTGCGGTTATCATGTGTGCTTTAAATTAGAGCCACATAAACATGCACACACATTATTCTCTTTCAGGGATCCCTATGCTTTTCATTTACTATCGTTTAGCAAGATAATGCAATAGACTACAAGGTTGGTGGTTCAAATCCACCAGTTGCTCCTCAGAAACCCTAAACAGGGTTGCTGTGAGTCAAAACCGACTGGATGGTACTTAACAACAACAACAACAATCAGGTATATATTTATATTTTAATTAAAGAGCTTATCTGGCATTTCATGGTCTCTTCAAAGCCTAGAACATGCCATATATATAGTCAACACTCAATACATTTTTTTTATCTACTTTAAACTAAATTAGTGTCAAAATAAGACTCACAGTATGAATTAAGTCAGTATGATTCCAAAACCCCTTTGTTGCTCAAACATGACATCAAGGGGAATTCAGGAAACTAACACCAAAACTCTCCCCAGGGCATTCCCAGAAATTAACTAAGCTCTCAGATGCTAGGGTTCTGGCCCTACCTACCCCTCAGCTCTGATGTCCCTGGCTCTGTGAGAGGGGTCCCATCATGTGTTGGCCCCTCTTGGGTTCCAGGTGCTTCTGTCCCTGAAGTAAGCTCCCCCTGGCTCTCATGACTTCGAAGAAGAGCTTCCACAGTTTCATCCAGCTGAAGGGAGAAAGCACCAAAAATGTTACAGACACTCAGGTGCTTCCCAGCATAATGCTTCTGAGCAGAGGAGTCAGAAGATTGGGAACCTGCTAAGGCCAGCTCTAGGAAAGCAGACGGGCATCCACCTGGGCCCAGTAGCGGTTGACAATGAGGAGTGTGGCATCATCCGTGGCCTGCCGCTTCTCCAGCTTCTCAATTCTTTCTCGGAGTTCATCTTCACAAGCCTGCCGCTGTTCCAACCGCTCTGCTAGTTTCTTGTTCTTGAACTGCAGTACCTTTAAGTCCATTTCTTCCTACCAAGGGAAACAGAGCACGGAGGTGGTTAGTCAGAACTCAGAAATCAAACTTAAGAAGAAATGTTATCCCCAAACAACCAGATTTCAGGAGACTCAGACACCTATAGAGAAAGCGTCCTAATTGTGAGAAGGCTCAGGTCCTGTTTCTAACCCTGAAGTCTTTGACAAGTCACTCGTCCTTCCTGTAGTGTTCTCAGTTCCCTTCAACAAAGTTACCTGAAGCGGATCGTGCTAAGCCTAGGGAACTAGCAGGACGATTCTGGGCGTTTTGGTCAAAGAAGAGATGGGAGGGATAGCTGGGACCTACGAACCGTAGAAGAGATGCCTCCCAGGCGAATGGGCTCTATGAGAGTGGTCGTGGTCTTCTCCTCGCGATTCAGTTTCTTCTCTGGGGGACCCGAGCCCCCGTCTCCGGCGGAGCGTTTATTACCGGGCGCAGACATGGCTGCGGCGGCGCGGAGCGGCGCGGGATGCCACCGAGGGTCGTCAAGTGGGCGGAAGCGGCATTCACTTAACCTGCAGAAGACAGACAGTAGAGGATGGAGACAGCCGGTGCCCGGAGCCCTGAACTACCTCCTGCCCATCCCCGAATACACACCTGCTGGATCCTTCCCCCGCCGGCCGCGGGGCCCTCACCGACAGCAGCCTCAAACTAACACCGCCATTTAGATTTCACCGGACGTCACCGGACTCCCTAGCCCACGACGCAGGCGCCAAAGGCAGCGCCGGATGTGACGGATAATCATTAGTTCCCGTTTCTCTAGGTCGCACATGTTGTTGTTGTTAAGTGTCATGGAGTCAGTTCCGACTCTAGCGACCCTGTATAGGGTTGCCACGGAGCGGCTGATGGGTTTGAGCTTCCAACCTTGTGGTTAACAGTCCATTGCTGATCCTACAGCGCCACACTTGGACTCTATGGGTCTGCCTTTTGCGCGCATTTTGGTGTTTTCCTCTACGCTTCTTCCGGTGACTGCCAGTAGACAGTTCCCATGGTAACTGACGCAGTCTCGTACGCCAGCGAGGGCTTGCCACCTAGTACGCAAGTGCATTGCATTTACACGGATTGGTCAGTGCCCTTACACTTTTATTTTCCCTCCTTCATAAATCCCCTTAGCAACGGTCACTGCTGTGACAGAGGAAGACGCCTCCCGCGGATTGGCTGCACTGAGTCTTTCTACGGTACAGATTGGCTGAAGCGTTGCTAGAGGGCCAGGCCTTGGCAGTCGCTACAGGAGAGAACTGGCTGCCCCAGTACGAAGGCCAACCGAGGCTTGTGGTGACCCGCTTCTGGAGGAACAAGATGATCCGCCAGAAGTCTAGCCAATGGCTTGGGTTGAACATGCAGTCGGAACTTGAGCCCCCCTCCGAACTGCAGCGGGAACCGGAGAAGGACTTCAGTTCAGTGGGTGAATCGACCACGAGGATGGGAATGGGTCTGCGAATCGATTCGAGGACTGCCGCCTCAGTGGAAACGGATGATGACCCTGGAGCCAACTTGTTCCCGGTGAGGGAGAAGCAGAGTGATGTGCTCAAGAATATTTGTTAAAGGGATCCCAGGCAGGGCGCCTCCCTTCATTATGTTTGCTAACGTTAAAGATGTCCGAGTTGCCTTGGGAACGCCACCTGTTGTAAATATGCTTATAAATAGCGATTCGGGTCTGCTGAAACGCAGCCCGCCGGCGTTACTTATACGTGGTCCTTGAGATGGATTCGCGAAGGGCTAGGGACAACACAGCTTTGCCTTCCCCTATCCGTTTTCTCTCCGCAGCCGCCGCTGCCCCAGCCTCGGATCTGTTTGTGGTGAGTATGAAGAACCACGGGAAAGGTTACACTTTATCCTGGCATCATACCTGTAGTGCCTCCCCAGCAGTTCTGTGCGGTAGCCAGGGCATCCCCAGTCCATAGAGGGAGTGTAGGAAGGAACCAAGGACTAAGGGTGTTATGAACTATCAGAGCTGATGCTGTACAAATGGTGACTCAAAAGGGGAACTTGCCCAAGATCATAGGGGAAGGTAGTGAAAGAGTAGACGTGAGAACTCAAGTTCCCCAGCCCATGATTTTATAAATGAAGAGAGGATCATAAAAACTCATCCTCTTATTTACTGATGGAGACACAGGACCAGAGAGGGAAGTGACTTGCCTAAGGTTAGAGAGCAAGTTAGTCAAAGGCCCAGTCTCAAACTTGGGTCTCCTGATTCTCAAGAGAAGCACACTGTAACCACTTAACTGATGTGTAACAGCCACCAACACTTCTTCCCCCCTCTCCTATGACAGGAAGTACCTGGACATCCATTCTATGCACCGGCTGGAAAAGACCACCACTGTTGAAGAGATGAAGGAGTATGGGGCTGAGCAGGGAGAGGAAGAAGAGGGCTTGGGGAAGGCTGAGGGGGGTGGGTTTGACTGGTTCTTAGACAAGGTCAGTGGTTCAAGCTCACCAGCCACTCCTAGGAAACCCTATAAAGATGTTGTCCGAGTTGCCTTGGGAACACCACCAGTTATAAATATGCTTATAAATAGCGATCGGAACTGACTGGCACTACTTAACAAAAGCATGGGTATGGAGTCCTAGTGTGGCACTGCGGGTTAATGTGCTGACTGCTAGGGCAGTTTGAATCACAAGGTCAGCGGTTCAGGCTCACCAGCTGCTCCTTGGAAACCCAGTACGGGGTTGCTATGAGTCAGAACCAACTCGACGGCACCTAACAACAAAGCATGAGTATAGGATGGTGAAGGGAGGTTAAGCATTTTCCTGAACTTCCCTCCCTCTCTGCTTCCTCTCCCCTCACTCCTCCACTCCCAGAGTGCTGGCTGAGCTGTTGGGGTTGAGTTGTCCTGAGCAGAACCTTCGGGAAGCCATCACCTTGGACCTCTTCTCCCACGCACTCATCTTCTGCCGCCAGCAAGGCTTCGCACTGGAGCAGATGTCAGCAGCTTGTGCCCTGCTCCAAGATCTCCACAAGGCCTGTGTTGGTGAGAGGGTGGAGGCAAAGTTGCTACAAGAGGCCACAGGAAGTGGGGCACTAGTACCTGTAAAGTATTATCACACACAAGTTATTTACCCTTCAAAATCCTATTTTCTCTTCTGTATAATAAGGATACAGCACTAACTCTGAGATAGCTCTGGTAAAATGGAATGAAAAGAGAATGGAGTTTTTCCAACTTTTTGAAGCCCATTCATATGTAAATAGATCGACCAGCTCAGTAAAGTAACCAGCCCATTTATTCCAATTTGATTTCCCCAGAAACATTTAACAGTATTTGAAGTTGTAAATTCTTTGGTGTACCGTCACTTCCTCTAGAAGATAAACTTTATAAGGGCGGGACCTTGTCTTGTTTGGTGCCTAGAACAATACTCAGTTTTTGTTGAGTGAATTAATGAAATAAGCCAGGACTTGAACCTAGATCTGCCTAAGACTATAGCTCATGCTCAGGATTTGTTGAGTGAAGTGAAAGAATATTGGAGGGGACTCATGGTCACATCTTGCTTTCCTTCTCAGCAACCCCCTTGGGCAATGTGGAGGAATGCTACCGGTACTTCACCACCGAACTTTTTTGCCATGGAGTCAGGGTCAGTTCGCTGGAATGGGACCTTCCTTCTCTCCCAGACAAGGCCCAGCCTGATCCATTGCCTCATCATCTGAAGGCTGCAGTGGGCTCACTCACTCTGCTCCTAGATTGTGCTCATAGAGGCCGCGGTTTGGGATGGTAGTGATGGGAGCTGGGGAAACCTGAGGTAGGTCAGTCTTCTAACTCCCTATCATCCCCACAGCGGCCTCCCTTCAGCATTGACCTCTTTAATGAGGAACAGCTGCTGGCCCTATTGGACTATGTGGTCAACACCTACTTCCGCCACTTCAAGCTCTACAAATACGTTTTCACACCCCAGGTACTGGGCTGTGGGCTACATGAGGCCATCCCTCCTCTCCCTTTCCTTCAGTGCATAGATTCTCCATTTGGCCTCCCTCTCCTGTCTTCCCAGGTGCGGCTGGATCTATCTTTGACTTATGTGGGGCTACAGCCACCCATGCTCTGGCCAGAGAGTAAGAGGGAAAAGGGAGAGGGCTGGTCCTGGTCCTGGTCCTGGTCCTGAGGCCTCTTACTGCTTCTGGATTACAGAGAAGGAAGAAGGTGAAGAGGCAGAGCAGCAGGAATTCATTCCGCAAGAGCAGGAACCAGAGACGGTGGCCCAGCCAGAGGAACAGCCAAGTGAGGAGGTGGAGGGGCGAGGGTCCCCTGGGACTCTGGGCCCATATAAAACGATTGGTTTCAACCACATTAGGATTTAAGACATTTTTCTGTCATGGAGCCTTTTCTCCAGTGGATTGCTTATGCAGAAGTCTAATGAAACAGCTACTAAAAGGTTTAGTATAGCAATACTGTGCGATACGAAAGCAGCTCTGGTGCCGGTGTGGGTTTCCAGGTGGGTTGCCAACTGCAAGGCCAGCGGTTTAAATCCACCAGGTGCTCTAAGGTTGAAATATGAGGCTTTTCTGCTCGCTTGATTTATCGCCTCGGAAACCCTATTCAAGGTCACTTAGTCGGAGCCTACTTAACAGCACACAACCACTGTCACCACCATCACTGGGTGTACTGGGTGGGGCAGGAACTCCAGAGAGGAGGATGAAAAAATTGATGACAAGCTCTAGCACATATATGGATGGCAATTAAAGGCAGTCTTATGAATGAGCTCTATTTCACATGTCTTTAAGTCGGATTTGTAGGTAAGTTGGAACAAGTGCTATGGTTCAATTTAGCTTTTTATTTAGTGTAAGAAAAGGTCTTTTCAGTGATTTAAAAGCTGCATGTACAACAAGTGAAAGCGATTGTAGTGAAGAATTTATTGCAAGTAGGTGCAAGTAGGGGTTGGTTTTGAAGTCCTGGTATGGCCCTGCAGAATAATGCACTGGACCACAGGGTTGATTTGAACCGCAAGGTCAGTAGCTCACCACTTGGAAATCCTACACAGGGTCACTATGAGTTAGAACTGACTCAGTGACACTTAACAGGGTTGGTTTAGTCGTTTTGAGGGCAAATTTACGTAACATTAACAAGTTGTCCATGTAAATTGGATGTTCATAGTTTGGTACACACTATGCACCAGGCTGGCAGTTTTAAGCATTTCCTCTTATTTAATCCGCATCTTGTTCTATGTGAGCGATGTCATTACTGTCCACATTTTATACTTAAGGAAACCAAGGCACAGAGAGGTTAAATAACCTAGAGTTGCACAGCTACTAAACTGTCAGAATACGAACCCAGAAATTTTGCATAAGTCACTCTGCCATCTACCTCTAATAGATGGCTGGCCGACATTCTTTGAAGTAAAGTCTAATGGGCATGTTGGGAGTTGTTTGCCTGGCTAGGAGCAATGGCAATTCCCTCAGCCCCAGATGGCATCTTTCCTGATCTGCCCCCCTACCCCTTCCCCTGTCCCTGCAGGCCAAGTTTCCTTCCTCCGAGCCTTCATTAAGGCCCAGCTGAACAAGGAGCTGGAGCAACTGCGTCAGCTCGTGGAGGAACGGCTTGTGGCCAGTGAGGAGCGGCTCAGCAGCAGGTTGGCCACTCTGGAGCAGCCCTACCAACTGCCCCCAGGCAAAGGCAAGACCAAGACCAAGTGATTTCCAGTGTTTTCCCCAATAAAGGCTTGGGCCATCCCACTCTCCCTCTTCTGATCGCCTTCCAGGCTTCCCTGCCCAAGCCAGACACCAAACACAGGGTACCCGTTCTCCCTAGCATGTAGCTGACTTTATTTCACATGTAGTACATAGGTGGCTCTCTTCCACCTCTGCTCCATCTCAAACGTCCTGGCTTGTGAGGGTATGCATACAAAGTTGATCTTCATGATAGTAGCATGATCTAGTAGCTAGCTTAGCCAGACATGGAGGCTTGAGCCCAGAGCCCCGAGAGGCTAGAATGATAAAAATCCTACTTCTGGAGAGTTCTGCTTTCTGGAATTCCCCAGAGCTATGGTCCTAGCTCAACACCAGCATAGCCTCCTCCTCAGGGACAGCAGCTGAGTCCCCTTCCTCGTCAGGGCCTGGGACAGGAAAAGGCCCTGGAGGCCGGTGCTGGAAGAGAGCCGCCCGGTTCTGCTGTTCGCCCTTCTTCACCCAGTGCCCGTAGAGCCGGAAGGCACAGCTGTCGATGAGGCGCCTCACTGGCCGCAGGGCGTAAGGATCCCTCAGCAGTGCACTCTTGGTGAGTGGCCGGATCCGGTGCGCACTCAAGGCTACACGTCCAGCAGCCAGCACTGTCCACACTGCCACCTGGGAAGGGGGCAAGTGTGAGCACCAGTGTAGTAATCACCCTAGAAGGGACTTGGAGTAGAGGAAATGGCCCAGGCCCCCAAACTCTCAGGCTTACCCTGAACCGTTGGCGGGGGGTGAGCTTCCAGGGCTGGCTGCCTTCACAACGCTCAAAGAAGGGGTGGTGTAGGGCCTGGTCGGCCGTCAGGCGTACCTCAGGATCCACCTGCAGCAGCCTTGCAATCTAGGGGAAACCCCAGCACTCGAGAAGCAGCTCTTGGGCCTCCCCTCTTGCCTTTTCATGGCCCAAGCTTACCAGGTCTTTGACAGTGTCTGAGCGGTCATCCCACTCGGGTGAACTAAACTGGTACTGGCCCTCCATGATCATGCGTAGCATCAAGATCTGGCGCCGGTGCCAGAAAGGTGGTGAACCAGCCAGGAGTGTGAATAAGATCACCCCACAGGCCCAGCTGGAAAAGAGCAGGCAGGACTGTGGGGGTGGGGGTGGGGGTGATGGATGGGGAATGTGTTGAGGACAGTATACACAGAAGGGGGTGGGGACCAGAAAACTCACAGGTCCACCTCCTTGCCATAGCCTGGGTGGGTTTCATCCATGGAGCATCTAAGGATCTCTGGTGCTAGGTAGCCTGGGGTCCCACATAACTCTGAAGAGAGAGGGCTGAGGTTAAGGGGAAGTCACCAGCCCTCATTGGGTCCTTAACACCCAATCTCTGCTGGGGCCTTCCCAACACCGCCCTGACCACAAGTGTCCCCCATTCTGCTCCAACTTAAGCCTGCCCTCTGCAGAGTCTCAATACAAGAACTTATTATTCCTGAACATAACCTACCAAGTACTTACTTGAGACTGTACTGGACTTGAAGTTCCTACCCAACTGTATCATTTGCTTCCTCCAACCATACCTATCTACAACAGCCCTTACCACACCCCACACAACTTGTTAGCTACATTTTTACACATAAAAAACAAAAGCCTTTTCCTATTTTCTGCCTAAACCTCCTCTTCCTATAATCTCCATTTTGGTTAGCCAAACCACCACTCTACTCAAGGGGTACAAGAGGGAATATGGGAATTCCTATAGTATATGCTTTAGCTCTCTAGTAATATTTCAGGATCAAGTCTAGACTCCTATACCACAAAGCTTGCCACCATCTGCCCAGCTCTAGATTTCAGTTTCTTCTGCCAGGCACCAGTTCTGTCATCCCAGCAATTTCCAAACTGTTTCATGGCACAATTCTAGAAGATCTTAAAAGGCCTGATTGAAAACAACTCTTGGGAAATTCACTGCCACACTAAGTATGAGGTGGCTTGCTTCAGCAAGCTCATGGAAAAATGAAATTAGAAAATAGAATTTTCCCACAAACTTTTTGAAGTCCAGTTGTATTTACTGAATACCTGCCATGTACCAAGCACCCTGCTACAGACAGAAGTGAAGCAGACGTGTGTCCCTTCAGAGCTCACTGTTCCCAGAAAGCAAATAACAACTGATTAAGACATGTTATAAAGCTAAACTACAAAAACAAGCTTCTGGGGAACTAGCCTGGCCTTAGAGAGTGGCAAGATGGTGGACTAGGCAGAAACGCTACACAGATTCTCCACAACAAAGATACAGAAAACCACATGTAACAGATACACACGATATTCTGGGAACCCTGAACTTCAGATGACGGGACAGAAAAGTGGACAGAAAGCTTACTAGGAGAGGAAGCTGAACAGACAAGGCAAAAAAAAAAAAAAAACAAAAAAAAAAAAAAGGGAGACAGACTGTTGACACCTATGCCAGATACAGCAAAGTCATCTTAAACTTGGTGAAGTGGCTGTAGGTATTGCCAGTGACTTGTGGATATTAAACTGTTGCCTTTTTAAATAAATTCCCTTTACTACTTTCATTTTCTGCAGTTGTTTCTTTCTTTTGTGTTTTCTCTTCTTGCCTCATCTGATGAGACAGCCAACCATGCCATTACCACACCCACCAGGAGGCAGGTGGTGAGTGCCTAAAAACATACCAACAACACACAATCATTAATTTAATACAAATACAATACCACCACAATGTCTTGGAAGCAAAAAAAAAAATTTGTTGACGCAAAGACACGAGACAGAATAGCTCAAACAAGTGACCCAGAAGCAGAGCTAGAAAACCTAACAGTGAAAAAACAAACAAGGCATTGGAACTACCCGCAAAAGAATGACATTTGTGTACCTCCAAGTGATTGACAGAAGGCTGAAGAAAACGTTACATGATTGGAGACAATATAAAACCTGCAAATAGAAATCCAGAAGATGAATACAAAGATCTGTTTGAATCAATGGTAGCCTGAATTAGTTTGAAGATTAATCTCTCAGTACTAATAAGTGAGAATAATAGAACAAATAATGAAAAAGCCTAAGATTCATGTACAGCACCATGTAAAAGAATAACTTATGGGTAACAGGAATTCCACAACAGGAAGAGACAAAGAAAATCATAGAAAAGATAGTTGAAGAGTTGGAAGAAAACTTATCTAATATCATGAAAGATGAAAAACTGAATGAACCCCAAATAGGATAGACTCCAAAAGAAAACTACCAAGACACATAATCAAACTCTCCAAATTCAAAGACAAGAAAAATATCCTAAGAGAAGCTTAGGAAAAACAAAAAGTTACCTACAAAGGATAACCAACCAATAAGATTAAGCTCTGATTTCTCAGCAGAAACCATGCAGACAAGAAGGCAATGGGGTGTCACTGAAAAAAATGACTGCCAACCAATAATCATATACCTAACAAACCTATCCCATAATACGAAAGTGAAATCAGAGCATTTCCTGATAAACAGAAATTAAAGGAATTTGTAATAACCAGGCCAACTTTACAAAAAAATACTAAAGGAAGTCTGGACTAAGAACTAACAACAGCAGACAACAACCAGAGTTTAGTACAGATACACAACAAAGTAAAACTTAAAAGACTGAAAATAGGAACCAGAGAGATCAATTTATAATGACGACAACTACAATGCAAAAAGACAGAACAAATGGTGAGGAAATCAAATAGATTTCCAGATATAACACTTTCAAACTGAGGAAGAAATTATTATTTTACAGGGTAACCTCAAATAAAATTAACATTATCTTCACATCAAATCAAGAAAAAGGAAAACCATAAAGATTTAGTAAACATTAAAACAGCACTGAAGAAATTGACACGAAAACATACCAACAAAATGAACTCAGCACAGAAAATCATGTGGAACAAAGAAACCAGCAACACCATAAAAAAACACAGCATAATGACAGCCTGGTGTGGCACTGTACGATAAGCACTGGGCTGTTAGTTGAAAAATTTGGCAGTTCAAATCCACCAACTGCTCCTTGGAAGCCCTATATAGGGTCACTATGAGTTGGAAATGACTAAACAGCACACACCAACAACATAATGACAGCTATCGATTCAAACCTATTGATAATTACACTGAAGGTCAATGGATTAAATTTATCAGTCAAGAGACAGAGAATGGATAAAAAAGCGGATCTTTTGTTGTGCTGTTTACAAGAGACACACATTACACACAGACAAAAATAGACTAAAAATTAAAGACTGGAAAAAATATCAAGCTAACAACAATCAAAAACGAGCAGGAGTGGCAGACAGACTTCATGTGGTACCTAGCTCATAATAAAATCAAACAAACCCTCAGTCACTAAGACGATTCTGACTCAGTGACCCTGTAAGATGGAAGAGAAGTGCCTCATGGGGTCTCCAAGGCTGTAAATCTTCATGGAAACAGTTTGCCGCATCTTACTCCCTGAGAGTGGTTGCTAGGTTCAATCTGCTGATCTCCCAGTTCGGAGTCAAGTGCTTAACTACTGCACCACCAGGGCTCCTAGGTCATGTAGTTAAGTGCTATTGAGTCAGTTCCGATTCATAGCATCCCTGTATAGGGTTTCTAAGGAGCAGCTGGTGGGTTTGAACCACAGACCTTGCAGCAGTCCAGTGCTTATCCTACAGCGCCACACCAGATCATAATAAAGCACCCAATGGTGGTGGTGGTGATGTGCTGTGGAGTCGGTTCCGATTCATAGCTACCCTATACAGGGTTTCTAAGGCTGTAAATCTTTACAGAAGCAGAAAGCCTCATCTTTCTCCCGCAGAACAGCTGGTAGTTTCGAACTGCTGACCTTGTGGTTCGCAGCCCGATTCGTAACCACTACACTACCCGAGCTCCTTATAGATGCTAGTTATTAACAAATGAAGCAGTAAAGCCATTGAAGAAGAGACAGCAGCATATCAAAGGCTCTGTGGAGTTCTACTTAGTTTCAAGATTCCCACTTGCAGTACAAATATTCCCTTCACGGCAAACACATTAGCATCAGGTGAGCCTGAATCCCGTGCCACCAGGTAGGGAATGCTGTCTGGCCAGTCAGGCTCTCAGAAGATCCTAGAAGCACAATATGGTGCTTTCCTTTCCAGGCCCCAAGCAACACTTCTGAGCCCTGGCATCCCCTTCCTCTTTTTCTCCCTGGACAAACCCAGCTTCCCTTCTGGGCCCAGCTCTGGAGCCCTTCTACCAGGGGTCCAGACAGAATCAGGTGCTCCTGGTTCCTAGGGTTTCTCTGCCAGTCCTGAGCCTGCTGTGTGCTATTTGCTCACTTGCCTGTCTCAACCTTCTCCAGGTCAGGAAGTCTGCACTGAGTGTTCCACAAGGTTTTACACCCAGAGAGTACACGCCAGGTGCTCACTGGTTTCTTCCCATTCCTTGGTGTTTGGGGCTCTGTACTGAGACCTGGCCCCTTCCTTCCCAAGCCTCTTCAAGCACTAAGTCTCCTCACCTCGCAGCCTCTCGCCAGGTTCCAAATGGCAGGAGAATCCAAAATCAGAGAGACGGATCTGCATATTGTCATCTAGGAGGATATTCTCAGGCTTCAAGTCTCGGTGCACGATGTTGTTGGCATGCAGAAAGCTCACTGCTTCCAGCAGAGACCTCATGATAGACCTGGGGCAGGTGCAATCTCTTCTTGTTTCTACCTGCGCCCCCAGCACTCCCTGCTCCCCATTCCCTACTTCCCCAGAGGCTGCAGGCTCGGCCATTACCTGGTTTCCTTTTCTGAGAGGGCCACCTTCTCTGTGAGATAATCAAACAGCTCTCCCTTCCGCATCCTAAGGGACAGGAGCAGTGGAAGTGGATGCAACCCCACAGTGGGGCTAGAGAACACAAACCGCTGCCCACGGAAAAGACCGTGGAGGAGGCTGGCAAACCAGAGGGTCTGGAGCCAGCACTCCAAGAGAGAACTGGATACCAGGGGCAGCGTGGCCCAGTGGCCTGGAGGGCAAAGTAGCTGAATTACGCCATCTTGGGGCTATTTCAGAAAGAGGAAAAGCCTTCTTGGGACTATAATTTATAGGTGGTCCTTTTAAAGCTAATCGATCTCTAATAATTTACAGACTACAGAGCACAAATCTCTAATAATCTGGTCTATAGAATTTGTAGACCAAAATTTCAGTTAACAGTGGGGTGGGGGGGACTGAACAGGGCTTTATTTGGAAATTTTGCTGATTTTAGCCAAGTCTTTTAAAATGGAGATTATAATTCCAATGCTAGATCAATCCCTGACAGAAAATATCAGATGTTGTTTGGAAGAATGCCAGTGTTCCATGATGCTGTCAAAAATGCTCCCTACTTCCTCTCAGATTTTTGCAGATCACTTCTCTTACTGCATTGAAGGCTTTGTGCATTTTCCCAAAGACCTCATTGAAATCTTTGATATTTAAATCATTCTCTTTTGAAATACCTTTGCAACTGTTTGCGCTGTTATATCTAACGTTCACATTCAGCTTGACCAGATGAAGAGCTGATGGTCAGAGACAGACACCAGTGTTAAACAAGGAGGGATAGTCAATTGGGGGCAGGGAGGCCTACTCTATAAGTAGTTAATAGTTCATTGACGAATACACTCTTCTTAAAACAACATCTTATTTCTTGCTAACTTCATAAGCAAGGAGGGCTAGAATAGTGGTCCTCAGGTTAGAAGGACCCTTCAATTTGACCAGTCCCCACTGCTCTTGAAGAACTTGCCTCCTTGGGCTGGCAGGCAGGCCACGGTAATAAAGAAGGCGCTAGCTGGAGCAGATGAAGGTGTGGGCAGGGTGGCCTCCAGCCCTCTGTGTGGTAAGGCTGGGACTATGCATAGAGACGGGGAGTAGGGAGATACTCACAGGTCAAACACCAGGAACATGAAGCTAGAAGACTCGTAGGAATCGATGAGAGTGACTGGGGAAAGAGGCAGAAGAGCAGAGAGAGAGATGGAAAGGGGCAGATAAGTACTCAAGGGGCTTTTCCACCCTGAGAGAGCAGTGGGCTGTTATTGGGAAGGAAGGAGAACCAAAGGAGGCAGTAGGGACCCAAAGGCTGACCACTCTTTGAGATGGAGCAGAGCCAAGAGGACGGGAGCAGAGGCGTGGAGGCAGCATCTGGGAAGTGGGCTGTGGGCAAGGCCAGCAGGTGGTGGGGTGGGTAGTCAGCTAGCAGGAGCAGGGAATGCAGCCTCACTGATGTGGGGATGGCCGGCGACCTGGCGCAGGATGTGTGTCTCTCGCCGCGTGGCTTCTCGCACCTCCTCCAGCTGTTCAGGACTTAGCCGCTCGGCTGTCACCTCCATGATTTTCACTGCAAACTCATTGCCAGTAGCTCGATGAACACAGCGGCGGACCACAGAGCTCACTCCTCTGCCAGAGTCAGACAAGAGCACAGGTCAGGCAGGGCCTCCTGCATTCTCCTTTCCACACAGAGTGGAGCCTCAGCATCCTCATGCCCAGGGAGCTCTCTCAGGCCTACTGCCACTTCACAGTAGCCTCAGGAACCTGGGGATCCAGCAAGGTGCAACACAGAGCTCACAGGGAGAGCAAACAGGGAACCTGGGCTCTGATGCAAGCTCTGCTACTCCTTCCATGGGTACCCCTGGGCAAGCCCTTCCTGCACCGAGGCCTAGAACCTGCCACCTGTCCTGCACTTCCACAAAGAGGAGGGGATATGAAATGATCTAAGGCTCCTCTAAATTTTACTCACTACTACCCTGGCTCACCTCCTCCAAATTCTACAACTCTCAACAATACCTGCCGTGTAGGAGGCTCCAAAAAATATCAATCCATTGCCTAGAAGACCAAAGTTGAGAATCTGGGAACCTTAGTTTAGACTCAACTAACTATGCCACTAACTGATTCCTGGTGTGGCGCTATAGGAAAAGCACTGGACTGTGAACCATGAGACCCATGGTTCAAATCCACCGGCTGCTCCTTGGAAACCTGATACAGGGTCGCTATGAGTTGGAACTGACTTGATGGCAGTGAACAGCAACAACATGGCACTAGAGCATGGGAGAAGATGAGGCTGGCCGCCTGCTCCTTTATAGAACCCTTGAGGAGCAGCTCTCCTCTGCCCTGTAGGGTAGCTATGAGGTGGAATTGACTCAAAGCACTGGGTTTATGCCACTAAATAACCTACAACTGACCCACCAACATAAGTTCTTTGAGTTTCAGCTTAACCAGCTCTCAAATACAGACAGTATCATCTTGAGGTGATACTGAAAAAAATTATGATGTAGAGAGATTGGATTTTTCCTGTTGGTTTTTCTTTCAAAAAGTATCTTCTGTTCCTATAGCTGCTCCAGGTTGGTCTGCTTGTCCTTTCCAATGGGAATGTCCCACCTCAGAAGGTTCTGGATGGGGCTAAGCATTCCACATAAGGCCCTATACACTACAAAGGCTCCACAAGAAGGCTATTTCACTGGGCAACTTCTAGGGTTCTAGAATTTTAGGTATTCCAATAGGCTGAAGGCTGACAAGCTTTGTGTAATCATGTTTCCCAATATTCCTTTCTATCCCACTCACGTGTCTATTTTATAATAGTAGGCAAGGGAAACCAATATTCATAAGATAGTCAAGCATCTTAACATTATTTCCCCTCTCTTACCCATTCAGACTATGCCTCGATCCCTGGATCACAGAGCCCTGTTGTTCCAAGGTGAAGCATACATACATCACTATTTACCTCTGTCCCATTTAGCCCATGCAAGCCTGCCTCAGTGTGCCCCTATCTATTTTGTTCTTCCATCCCCCTGCCCCTTCTTGTGTACTGCCCTCCCCAACACCCAAACTATGTGTCTATTCCCTACCCTATGCTCTACCATCCCCTCCCTTCCACCCCTAGTAACCAACAAATAATTTTTTTTCCCTTTTAGTATGGGTATCTTCTCTTAAGCTTTTATAATAATGGTCTTATGTAATATTTGTCCAAATGAACCCTTCCACCCCTAGTAACCAACAAATAATTTTTTTTTTTTTCCTTTTAGTATGGGTATCTTCTCTTAAGCTTTTACAATAATGGTCTTATGTAATATTTGTCCAAATGAACCCTTCTACCCCTAGTAATCAACAAATAATTTTTTTTTTTTTTCCTTTTAGTATGGGTATCTTCTCTTAAGCTTTTACAATAGTGGTCTTATGATCACAGGGACTTAACACAAAAAAGCTTTATGAATACTGATACCTCCATTGGTAAGGAAACGTGCACCAACTAATTTTTTCCCATCATAGCAATGCAAGTGTAATGAGGGCTGCTCTGCAAGAATTGGGAAACCTTACTCCATCCCAACTGTAGCCCTGATCTTAACTCTTTAGACTTCTTTTTGTTCCCCAAATTAAAAGAACACTGAAAAGGAGCACAACTTGAGTCCCTTAAAGATGCCAAACCTGCCATTTTGACATAGTGCAAATAGAACAGAACAGAAATCTTCAGAAAAGGGTTAGAGAGATAGAAACAGTGCCTTCTCAGAGTAGAGTTGACCATAATGATGTGGATGGAGTTAAGCATTTGGGACTTTCATTTGCTAATGTGGCACACACCTAAAAATGAGAAGAAATAGCTAAAAACATCCATTACTAATCAGAACATGCAATGTACAAAGTGTGAATCTAAGAAAACTGGAAGCTGTCAAAAAGGAAAAGGCATGCATAAAGATTGGCATCGTAGGCATTAGTGAGCTGAAATGGACTGGTATTGGCCATTTTAAATAAGACAACATGGCTTGGTATGCTGGGAATGACAAAGTGAACAGGAATGGTGTCACAGTCATCATCAAAAAGCATCTCAAGATCTCTCTTGAAGTACAACGCTATTAGTGATAGGCCAATATCTATACACCTACAAGGAAGACGAGTTAATACAACTATTATTTAAATTTATGCATCGAACACTAAAGCCAGTGATGATGGAATTGAAAACTTCTACCAACTTCTTCAGTCTGAAATTGATTAAACATGTAATGAATATGCAATAATACTTATCGGTGACGTGAATGCAAAAGTTGGAAACAAAGAGAAAGGATCAGTAATTGGAAAATAGGGCCTTGGTTACAGAAATGATGCTGGAGATCACATGATAATTTTTTTCAAGACAAATGACTTATTCATAGAAATACCTTTTTCAACAACATAAAAGGTGACTATGAAAGTGGAACTCACCAGATGGAATACACAGGAATCAAAATGACTACATGTATGGGAAGAGACAATGGAGAAACTCAGTATTATCAGCCAAAACAAGGCCAGACTGGAACAGACCATGAATTGTTCAAATAAGAGTTTGGGGTGAAGCTGAAGAAAAGTAAAACGAGTCCATGAGACCAAAATATGACCTGAATATAGACAGCATTTCAAAACAGATTTGAGGCATTAGACACTAATGACCCGAAGGGCTGTGGGATAACACCAAGGATATCATCCACGAAGAAAGCAGAGGGTTGTTTAAAAGACAGGAAAGAAAAAAAGACCAAAATGGATGTCAGAAGAGACTCTGAAACTTGCTCTTTAGCATAGAGAAGCTAAAACAACTGGAAGAAATGAAGAAGTACAAGAGATGAACAGAAAATTTCAACAACTTGCAAAGACGAAAAATTAAGTATTATAATGAAATTTGCAAAGACCTGAAGTTAGAAAGGGAAGCACATACTCAGGATTTCTCAAGCAGAAAGAACTGAAGAATAAAATTAAGCCTTGACTTGAAATACTGAAAGATTCTATGAGCAAAATTGGGAGCATGGTGGCTCTGCAGAATAAGCATTGGACTGTAAAACACAAGGTCTGCCATTTGAACCCACCAGCCGTGGAAGAAAAATGAGGCGTTCTGCTCCCACAAAGATTATCAGTCTCAGAAACCCTATAGAGGGTTGGTATGAGTTGGAATTGACTCGAAGGTACTTAACAACAATGGATAAAATACTGATGATGCAGGAAGCATCAAAAGAAGATGGAAAGTCGCTATACCAAAAAGAATTTGTCAGTGCTCAACCATTTCTAGAGGTCACATAAGAGCAAGAATCATTGGTACTGAAGGAAGAAAACCAAGCTGTACTGAAAGCACAGGCAAACAACAAAGCTCCTGGAGTTGACAGTGTATCAACTGAAATCTTTCAACAAACTGATGCAGCACTGGAGTGCTCATTTTTCTACGCCAGGAAACTTGGAAGACAGCTACCTGGCTAACCAATTGTATGAGATTCAATAGGTACAATTATTTGTACCTATCCCAAAGAAAGATGACCCAACAGGATGCTGAAATAATTGAACAGTATCCTCAATACCATACACAAGTAAAATTTTGCAGAAGATAATTCAAAAAAGGTAACAGCAGTACACTCTCAGAAATTCAAGCTGTATTCAGAAGAAGATGTGGAACTGGGGATGTCACTGCTGATGTGAGATGAATCTTGGCTGAAAGCAGAGAATACCAGAAAGATATTTACTTGTGCTTTACTGACTATGCAAAGGCATTTGACTGTGTAGATCATAACAAACTATGGATGACATTATGAAGAATAGGTATTCCAGAATATTTAATTGTGCTCACAAGGAACCTGTATATAGACCTAAAGGCAACTGTTCAAATACAGTAAGAGACTGAATGATTTAAAATCATGAAAGATATGTGCCAGGATTGCATTTTTTTCACCATACTTATTCAGTCTGTATTCTGAGCAAACAATCTGGGAAGCTTGATTATATGAAGAAGAGTATGGCAGGAATGTTTGGAGAAAGACTCATTAACAACATGTGATATGCAGATCATGCAACTTTTTTTGCTGGAAGTGAAGTGGACTTGAAATACTTAGCGATGAAGATTGTATGGATTGCACTTGAATATAAAGAAAACAAGATCCTGACAGCTGGACCAGTAAATAACATTGTAATAAATGAAGAAAAGATTGAAGTTGTCAACAACTTCACTTTGCTTGGATCCATTATCAATACTCAAGGAAGCAACAGTCAAGAAATCAGAAGATGGACTGCATCAGTCAAATTTGCTGCACAAGACCTCTTTAAAGTGTTTACGAGCAAAAATGTCAGCCTGAGGACTAAGGTGTATCTGATCCCACGCTATTGTATTTTCAATTACCTTATATGCCTGTGAAAGTTGGGACAATAAACAAGGAAGATAGTAGAAGAATTGATGCATTGGAATTATGGTGCTGGCAAAGAATATTGAAACAAATCTGTCTTGGAAGAAGTACAGCCAGAGTGCTCTGTAAAAGTCAGTTTAGTGATAATTTGCCTCCTTCTTTGGACATGTTGTCAGAAGGGACCAGTCCCTGCATAAGAATATCATGTTCAGTAAAGTGGAGGGTCAGTGAAAAAGAGGAAGCCCACCAACGAGATGGACTGACACAGCTGCAGGAACAATGGGGTCAAACATAACAATTGTGTGGATGGCACAGGATCAAGCAGTGTTTCAATCTGTTGTGCACAGGGTCACTATGAGTTGGAACGGATTCAGTAACACGAACTACTAACTACCTTTACAGATTAAAAAATAAAAAGAAAAAGGTTCTCTAGACAAGTTAATTTAGTGATAATGTACAGAAAAAAAATCAAGAAGAAAAAGGTAATCAAAAAAGATCAGGCTACCACAGGAATCTTGGAACGAGGCAATAAGGATTCTCCTTTTGAACTGCCTCCTCCAAACTTTTCTTTCAGCTCCCCTCAGTCTCTGATCCTTCCTTATGGCTTCTTCCTAGTCTCAGCGCAGCCCCACTTACCTGGCCCTAAAACCTGGCAGCACCTTAGGGTTTGGGCCTGGGATTTCTTCTTTTTTCTAAAATCTCTTTCCCCTGGTGACCTCCATCAGTCCCAGGGATTTTACTTAAAAGGGGTGTGGCCAACCTTCCAGAAGCATATTCTTCCTGTAGTTTTCTTTCTAACACACAAATGGTGGAGTGTAATGGATCACTTTTACATGGCCTTTCTCCACATGGTCTTGTAATACCAACAAATGATTGGGTGGTGGGTGTTGCTGAGTGCCGCTGAGTTGACTCCAACTCACAGCAAGCCTGTATAGGGTTTCTGAGGAGCAGCTGGTGGGTTTGAACTGGCAACCTTGTGGTTGGCAGTCCAGTGCTAATCCTACAAAGCCACACCAGGAGTCCAATGATTGGGTAGAAATGCAAACCAAGTGCTTGCAGCCCATCCAGGGGACTGGATCGCTTGCTAACGGCACAAACTAAATGCATGACATTCTAGTAGAAGCTGTTGTTAAGTTCTGTCAAGTCTGTGCCTACTCTTAGTGACCCTGTTTAGGGTTTCTAAGACTGTAAATCTTTGCAGGCACAAAAAGCCTCAACTTTCTTCCTTAAGACTACCTTGTGGTTCCATCCAGTGTGTATCCTACAGAACCACTGCACTCTCCACATAGATGATCTGAATACATACATTTTTTGTCCTGAGTATTTACAAAGATGGCGCTGAAAGCGAAGAAGGAAGCCCCTGGCCCCTCCCAAAGCTGAAACCAAAGCAAAGGTGTCGAAGGCCAAGAAAGCAGTGCTGAAAGGCGTCCACAGCCACAAAAACAAGAAGATCCACGCGTCACCTACCTTCCTGCGGCCCAAGAATCTGAGGCTCCAGAGGCAGCCCAAATATCCTCAGAAGAGCAACCCCAGGAGAAATAAGCTTGACATCTAAGCCATCTAGTTTCCTCTGACTACTGAGTCAGCCATGAAGAAGACTGAAGATAATAACACACTTGTGTCCACTCTGGACGTCAAGGCCAACAAGCACCAGATCAAAAGGGCTGTGAAGAAGCTCTATGACATTGACGTAGCCAAGGTCAACACCTTGATCAGGCCCGATGGGAGAAAAGAAGGCATATGGCTCCTGACTATGATGCTTTGGATGTTGCCAACAAAATTGGGATCATCTAAAATTTACAGCCTCGGAAACCCTGTACAGGGTCGCTAAGGGTTGGAACCGACTCGATGGCACTTAACAACAACAACAAACTGAGTCCAGCTAGCTAATTCTAAATATAAATTTTTTCAATACCAAAAAAAAAAAAAAAAAAAATTTTTTTTTTTATCCCGAGCATTCCAGAACCTGAATTTGTTAACATCTTACTTCTTTCTTTAATGAACTGCAAGTAAGGTATGGTGGTGATCGTGGTTACATGCTGTGGGGTCGGTTCTTACTCACAGCAACCCAGTACAGGGTTTCCGAGGCTGTAAATCTTTACAGGAGCAGAAAGCCTCATCTTTCTCCCGTGGAACAGCTGGTAGTTTCGAACTGCTGACCTTGTGGTTCGCAGCCCGATTCATAATCACTACACTACCAGAGTATATGGAGTCCTGGTGTGGCGCTGTGAGTTAATGCGCCAGACTGCAAAGCTGTTTGAACTACAAGCTCAGTGGTTCAAGCTCACCAGTCGCTCCTTGGAAACCCTATGCAGAGTCGCTGTGGGTCGGAACCGACTCGACGGCACTTCACAAGAACAGCCACCACCAGAGTATATGGAACCCTAATGAGGGGAGTGGTCAGTGTTGCCATCCTGCTAGGCTTAAAATAAGCCATCCCAGAAGCAGAAAGGAGGGACCTCAAAATCACCAAGAAGAGATGGGAGCGGTGTGCATCCTTTGGACTCAGAGTCCCTGTGTTGAGAGCCTCCTAGACCCAGAAAACAGAAAGAGAGCTGTAACACCAGAGACTGCTCTAGACAGTGAAAAGCAATGGCAGAGAAACAGCAGCAGCAGGAACAGGAGACTAGTGTGAGACAGCACAGTGGGCTTCCCAGAGAAAGGTGCTTACAGGGGGTGTGCCAACCTATGGAGCAAGAGAGCTGAGCACCTTTGGGCAGGAGGCTTCCTGTAGAGTGGAGTACTTCTGGGCACTTGTCAACAGAGCTAGGTTTGCCAACCCACCAAGCCTGAGAGTTGAACGCCTTCAGGCAGGGGGCTTCCTGGCAGAGAGGGGTTCTCCCAGGCACTTCTTAGAAGAGCTAAAGAGCTGTTGAAACACTTGCTGGAGCAGGGCAGAGGCCAGGCTGAAAGTCAGAGAGAGGACTGCCTGCAGGCATGGCTGAGAAGCTGTCCTGACCTAAGAACTGAATCCTGAGTTGTTCCTGATCCTGAAGTGTCATCTGCTACTTCCCTAATAAACCCATAACTCTGAGGAGGGTCTGTGAATTCTGTGTGACCACTACAATGAATTATGGAACCTAGACGAGGGGTAGAGTGCCAAGGAAGGAACAACTGGTGTCATAATTGGTAAAAAGGTTGGAGAGAGAAGGAATGTTTGGTTTCTACTTAATAAGAATCAGCTTTAGACTGATGCTGATTCTCTCACCTCCTGGTAAAGTTAAAGGTCAGAGAGCCCTGCCATGCCATTTTTACGGACATAGCCTCAGTTTCTCTCAATGATTCTTTTTTCTCTGACCCCTAATGTGCCCAGTCATTCTCTACACATGAGCCAGAATGATCTTTTCTAAGTAAAAATAATACACATGTATTGAATCCTTAACCACGTGGCATCATATTAAGTCATTCCATCCTCAAAGCAACCAACAAGGCAAGTTCTATTTTAAATTCCATTTTACAATGGCAAAACTGCAGCACAGAAAGATTAAATTCTTTGTCTCCAAACCACACAGATATAAACCAGATGTTACTATTCACTAGAATAAAATTTCAATTTCTTGCCATAGCCTGCACAATCTAACATACACTTCTCCAACCTAATTTCCTGTCCTTTCCCATTCTTACTGCATTCTCCTTTTCTGTCTCAGACATGATGCACTGACTTGTTCCCTTAGCCTGGAACAATTTCTGCCTCAACTCATGACTGCTTCATTCTCCTCTTCAAGATTCAGCTGAAAAATCCGCTTCTCAGAGAAGTTTTTCTCAGGCCTCCTTACCTCTAATGTTCTCCATTAATGACTCTAATTCTATTTCTTTCTTTCTTATTACTTTCACTAATGTTTATCTTTGTGATTACTGTTGAACTCCACCACTAGCATGTAAACTCTGTGAGGACAACAACCTTGTGAGTCTTGTATTCCAGGTGCCTAGTACAGTGCACCTAGCACATAGTCTGTGCTTAGGAAATTTTTCATGAAAAACATATCTGCCTCTATGAGCACAGTGGCTTCACTGGATAAGCACTGGACTGCAAAGCACAAGATTGGCAGTTTGAGTCCACCAGTTGCTCTGCAGGAGAAAGATAGGCTTTCTTTCCCACAAAAGATTTAAAGCCTTGGAAACCCTACACAAGGTCACACTATGAGTTGAAACAACTCCAGGGCACCTACCAACTGTCTCTATAGATGAGAGCTTATTTCTGGGTTTTGCATGCTAAATTTCCATTCATCTTTCAAGATTCCACCCAAAGATCATCCCTTCTAGAAGCTGTCCCTTAGCATTAATCCCCTAGTTCTCTGGGACCCCACAGCACTTTGTACTGGTTTTTAACATTGATAAATATTTTGTGTCGGTCCCAGTCTTTCTCAGCCACGTCACCCGGAGTACCTCCAACGCACTGGCATCATCTTTTCCAACCCTAACAACTCCCGGTTTAGCTTTGTGTTGAGAGGAGATAAATCAATGAATTTATGAAGCAGTAGGGGCTGACCCAAATGATCCCCAATGACAGTGAGCCTTCACATTTAGAACGATCTAACCCCTAGAGTCCTGGTGTGGCGCTGTGGGTTAATGCGCCAGACTGCAAAGCCGGTTGAACTGCAAAGTCGGCGGTTCAAGCTCATCAGCTACTCCTTGGAAATCCTATTCAGGTTCGCTATGGGTCAGAATTGACTCAATGTCACTTAACAACAACAAGCCCCTAGAAGGTGGGCCGTTAAAGCACTCGGTTAACAAAGGTCAGGGACTGGAATCCACCAGCAACTCCGAGGAGAAAGATGCACCGTCAATTCACTTCCGAAATTATTTACAACCCTGAAAACCCTAGAGGTCAGTTCTAGTCTGACCTACAGAGTCGGTATCTATGACAGTGGATAGCCCGCAAACTGAACTGTACCTCCAGGATCTCCGTTTCCCCTACAGCCTCACCTGCCAATGATGTCCTTAGGGTCGTACTTCTGGTAAAACTCCTTGGCCGCGGCCCAGTCCGGTAGCTCATCCTCCGGCCCCACGTCCAGAGTCATTCTGAAGGAAGTGGAGGCCTGTATGGAGGAAACGGAGGGTAGTGATGGTAGGGTGGCCCACAGGCTCTGGGAGGACGTACATCGTGGCTCCCGGAGGCGCAACCCAGGCGGCTGAGGGGCCAGGGTCCTGGGGCGAGGGTGGGGATGGGGATGGGGATGGGGATAGGGAAGGATGGGGCAGGAAAACCCACTGGATTTTGGGGGAGGGAAGGGAAACGGGGAAAGGGACGGGGGAGGGGAAGGAAAAAGGTGTCAGTAAGGGGAAGGGGTACAAGGGCGGGCGGCTGTTGCCGCGCAGGCGCACTTTGTCAGGCGCTGGGAGGGGCGTGGGTCCCGCGCGAGCTCACCCGTGGGGGCGGGAAGAGAGTCCAGGGTCTCCGTTAGGCTGAGGGGTCGCCGGGTTCGCCTCCAGTCACTTACCTTACCTCTGGCGCCGCCGGCAAACACTTCTGGCCCGCCTCTTTCCTGTTCACCAATGGCCAGCGTCAGGCGAAGATTGAGGTTCAGAAGCCCTTTTGATTGGAAATTAATAGTCCAATAGGAAGCCGAGAATCCCGGAGCTGAAACAGGCGTTAGAGCTCGAAGTTACCTAGGGCTACGACGCTTGGGTGAGTCTTCAGAATTAACCAATCATCGTACAAGCAATAAAGGGTGAAGCTTGTTGTCAAGTGGGGTTGGAGCTCGGGATGGGATCCGGAAGCTAGGTTTCCTGGTCCCACGAACCGTGACCTCTGTGCAGGTCCGACGCAGGACTTAGCTGCACTTCCTGTTTCAGGACTCCGGCGGGCGCTCCTGTTTCCTCCCGGCATCCCTGCCTTAATTCGACTTTTTCCATATTGGCAGTACCATACAAAGCGTCCACCTCGAGGGGCAGACTTCTCCCCTGAAAACACACGTAGAAACACGCAGTCTGGATCCCAGGTCGGCCACTCGGTGCAGACTGGGACGAGTCACGGCTCTTCGCCTTGAAGGGTCTCCTCGTTTTGTAGTTGCTCCGACTCTCCTAGAGTCCAAAGCCTTAACAACGTTCACCATCTGGGTGACATATCTTCCCAAGCTTCTACCGCTCTTTCCCCAAAGCTTCCGATAATATCGGCTTAAATAAGCTTTCTCAATGCACACACAGCTCCGCCCTGACATTCAGTTACTTGTATCTGTTGAACTTCTAGGCGCTGGAGTAACAAAAAACAACCCAAAGGAGGGAGGGAGGAGTGGAAGTAGGAAACATAAGGAGGGAGTGGGATAGGTGCTATTATTACCTTGAGGGATTCTTTCTAATCAATGAGATGAAGTGTATAATTTGTTGGATGTAAAACTGATGATCTGCTCTGTGGACCTTCACTCAATTAACAATAAAAAGTTTTTTTTTTTTTAATGTACCCTTGTGGAAGTTATCTTCCAGTGAAATAAGTTCAGGATAAGTACGTTTCACTTTAGGATCACAACCATAAAAGGGGAAAAGAAAAAAGACTCTAGTGTGGTGTTGTGGAGGGTCGCTATGGGTCTGAACAGACTCAACGGCACTTAACAAAAAGAAGTACCTTTTTAACAGTAATTTGACTTTAAACCATGAATCTAAAGACAAAGAAATCTTGCACTTTATTTAGTAGGCTTTTTTTTTTTTTTTTTTTTTTGGTAGTGGGTAATCGTTCTGAAAATGAGCAAGTTAATAAGCATATTGATGTCAGTTAAGAACCAGAATTCTCACTGTGTGAATGTGGAATTTAGGGAATTTGGGGTGGGGAAAAAGTCAAGAACATTATGATGTTGGGTTGAAATGGGAAAAAATGATTAGATTAATAAATATATTCAAATGGATAAAATTAGCTAGTTTCTAGTTCTGACAGCCTAACCCATTGTCATTGATCAATTCACTCATAGTGATACCATAGGATACAGTAGAACAGTCCCATGAGGCTGTAATCTTTATGGAAACAGACTGTCACATATTACCCATGGAGCTGCTGGTGGGTTCTAATCCCCAAACTTACAGTTAGCAGCTGAGTGTTTTAACCACTGCACCATCAGAAACATTGTTCCATTAGAATGAGCATTGCTGTTAAGTGCTGTCCAGTTGGTTCTGAATCCCAGCAACCCTGTGTAGGCTTTTCAATGAGCAGCTAGTGGGTTTGAACTGTCAACCTTGCAGTGAGCAGTCCAGGGCTTATACTACAGTGCCAACCAGTACTAATGAGCATTAGTGTTCAGATACTGGTTTCTAAACAAAAGAAAAACCCACTGTCATCGAGTGAGTCTGACTTATAGTGACTCTATATAGAGTTTCCAAGACAGTAAATCTTTATGGAAGCTGACATTCTCATCTTTTTCTCTTGGAGCCAATGGTGGGTTTGAACTACCAACCTTGTGGTTAGTAGTGCAGTACATTACCACCAGGGTTTCTTCTAGTTCCCATTAAATGGAACCAACAAGACTCCTTGAGAGAACGGCTAGTTTCCAGACTGGAGCAGGCACAGTACAAGCTGAGCGTGGCACAATGTATGCCAGAAAGTAGGTTCTCATAATAAGGAGGATTTATCACTTATCAAAAGGACACACGACTGCCGTTGAAAGGGTTTCCACTGGTCAAATCAGAGACAAAAGACTAAGACTGAGGGAGCTATGAAGAAGCTTTCTGATGTGTTGGAAATGTTCTGTTCACCTGGAGTATTCATATACAGACATTCATATCCAGCTGTACAGGTAAGATCTGTATACCCTAATGCATAAAATCTACTTGAACAAAACATTTCGAGGATGATGACAGGAATGGGTATGACAAATTTGAAATAAACGGAATCCATATTGGCACCATTGGTGTTGTGTGTTGTTGAGTCAGTTCTGACTCATAGCGACTCCATTTATTATTTCTGAGGCTGTACATCTTTACAGAAGCAGAAAGCCTCATCTTTCTCTTGAGGAGTGGCTGGCAGTTCCAGTGCTTATCGTACGGACACTCCTGTATTGACACTAAATATTGTAAAGAAACAGAGGAGGAAAATATCTTCTTTATAGTAACATGCTGATATGCTCGTAAATGTAGAAGGAATGACAAAGTTAGAACACCAACATTTTTCAAGCCTCGGAAATAATTGATTTAGGCAAAATTAACAGGCATTAAAATTGTGATTCTCCTCTCTCAGGAATTTAGAGGTCAGATGCCCCTTGCCATTTTTATAATCATGAAGTATTTAAGGATGTTTGTAGTCATTAAGTGCCATCGAGTCGATGCCGACTCATAGACTCATAGCGACCCTATGCACACAGCAGAACGAAACACTGCCCAATCCAGGGCCAACCTCACTATTGTTGCTACGCTTGAGTCCATCGATGCTGCCACCTGGTCAATCCATCTCATTGGGATTCTTCCTCTTTTTTCTCTGACCCTCCACCCTACCAAACATGATTATCTTTCTCCAGCAACTGGTTCTTCCTGACAATATGTCCGAAGTATGAGAGATGAAGTTTGGCATCCTGGCCTCCAAGGAGCACTCTGTCTGGCTGCCCTTCTTCCAACTCGGATCTGTTGTTCTTTTGGCAGCCCATGGCACTTTTCAATATTCTCCTCCAACACCATAACTGAAATGCATCAATTCTTCTACGGTCTTCCTTATTTATTGTCCAGCTTTCACATGCATATGAGGTTACTGAAAATACCATGTGTTGGGTCAGGTGTACCTTAGTCCTCAAGCTGACATCTTTGCTCTTCAACACTTTAAAAAAGGTCTTGTGCAGCAGATTTGCCGAATGCAATACATCGTTTGATTTCTTGACTGCTGCTTTCATGAGTGTTGATAGTTGATCCAAGAAGAATGAAGTCCTTGACAACTTTAATCTTTTCTCCGTTGATAAGAATATTGTTCATTGGCGTATTTAAGGATGTAGGGCCTATAAATTAACTTCAAATAATTCAGTATTAACAATATATACATCTAGAAAGATAAAAAGCTAAATATGAAGGGGCTTTAAAATGTTTGCGGAAAACTTCCATTGTTCCATGAACTTTTTGAAGTCCCCTGGTATGGTGAAATATTAATAATTATTGGTGGAAATGTGCTGGGGAACAGGATATTTATACAGATTAACTTTTATATATAGATGATTTTTAAGGACTACCTCAAACAAGTTGTCAATGTTACCTATAACAAGACAAACCGACTTTATGTGCTTCCTGATGTGACAATGTAGGATTTCTTCCAAAATTGCCTAAATACAAATTGAGTGACATTCTACAGATAATGACCTCATTTCAAAAATGTCACCAAAGACAAAGAAGGGATGAAAAACGGTTCTAAACGGAAGGAGACTAAAGAGCTCTGACAACTAAATGCAGTGTATTGCCCTGGAGTCTATAACAGAAAAGAAATTGTTATAAAGGCTGTAAGTAAGGAGCTTTGGTAGCGTAGTTGTTATGAATTGGGCTGCTAATCTTGCGGTCAGCAGTTCGAAACTACCAGCTGTTGCGCAGGAGAAAGATGAGGCTTTCTGCTCCAGTAGATTTACAGCCCTCGGAAACCCTGTACCGGGTCACTATGAGTTGGAGTCGACTTCACGGCACATAACAACTACAATATGGGTTAAGTGGCAAATTTGAACAAAGATTATATATAAGATATAAATATTAACGCTCTGAATTATGTAACAATAAATGCCTTTCAGAGCAGTTAATCCGTCATTTCAGGAACAGAGGACCCTAGGACCATCGAGAAGGAAGAATATGAGAGGAATGATGGATCTAACCAGAAAAGCAGCAACAGCAGAGATGGTGGTAGACGCGATTGCAGTGAGATAGAAGAGCAGAGGACTATAGGCCCAGGGTCTGAGAAAGCAGTGTGCCTGCGCACAGGAGGCTGGCTTGCAAAATGTGCCCTTTGGACATTTAAATGAATTATTTTCAGTGTGGTATGTGTACATCAAAAAGGTAATAGAGATAAATATTGTTAACTTATAGTACATGGAGGGGATTGTAATAATTGCAATGATTTGCTGAATGTAAAACTGATGATCTTCCCTGTAAACCTTCACTCAATTCACAATAAAAGCTTTTAAAAACAAAACAAAAATGTCTTTGAATTATGTTGGTGAAGAATATAAAATATACCACGGACTTTCAAGAAGAATGAACAAATCTGTTTTAGAAGAAGTGCAACCAGAGTGTTCTTTAAAAGAAATTGTGAGACTTCAGCTCATATTCCTTGGACATGTTATCAGGAGGGACCAGTCCCTGGAGAAGGACATGCTTGGTAAATGGGCAGTGAAAGAGAATATCCCTAGTGAGATGACTGACATGGTGGCTGTAACAATGGACTCAAACATAGCAATGATTCTAAGGATGGCACAGGACCAGGAAGTGTTTCAATCTGTTGTACAGGGTTGGAAGTGACTCAACAGCACTAACAACTGTAGTTATGTTGTTCTTAGGCATT